TTTGCCATTATTTGCAAATGGTCTCTGTTTTGCTCAAAATGTCTAAGAGCATTTTAAAGCTTTAAATTACAAAAAGAGTTTGTGTTGTGTAGTTCGGTTATATCTCATGTTAGTAATATAGATAATGCAAAATTTGTTACCAGAAGGAAAGTGTGGTAATATTACAAAAATTTGGGGAATTTGTGTAATATTACCACACTTTCCTTAAAAAATTAAAACTATTTGATAATATAAGCTCTTAAAAAACTGCCACTCGTCTTATTAAATATAATTGCCAACATTTTTGACTTTAAATTAACTATTTTTGATAAACAATAAAATTCAATAAGGTTCGAGTTCCTTGTCGATGATGCTTATTGATTTTTTTTCTACCTTATCTGTTTACAATATTGAAAGTCCCTGACAATAGATAATAATAAATATGTATTAATTTAAAGGTTTTCAACTGCCTTTATACTAAAACTGTAGCTTGTGAATTGGCGTCCGAAGGAAATTAATTATGACTAAAATGATATGTGTGACCGTGCTTTGTGGCATTCCTTGGGGGAGGCCTATGTTCAGCAGTGGACTTGTGAAGGGCTGTAATGATGATGATGATGATGACAATAATATGTGGTATAGTATTCTTTAATGTAATTTAACGTTTGTAAAATTCTAATTGTACCCATAAATATTGTAGAAATTGGCATAATATTTTGGTAGCTTATTTATATTCTGTATAACAAGGATTAAATGAAAGGTTATCAATAAATTATTTTATCATCATCATCATTACATCCCTTCACAAGTCCACTGCTGAACATAGGCCTCCCCCAAGGAATGCCACAAAGCACAGTCCTGAGCCACCTGCATCCATCGACTTCCTGCATGTCTTACCAGGTCGTCACTCCATCTAGTGGGGGGACGCCCTACACTTCGTCCACCGGTACGAGCCCGCCACTCGAGAAACTTTTTTTCCATCGGTTGTCGGTTCTTCGAGCTATATGACCGGCCCATTGCCACTTCAGCTTAGTAATCCACTGGGCTTTGTCGGTCACTCTGGTTCTACTGCGGATATCCTCATTTCTAAGTTTATCATGCAGAGAAACTCCGAGCATAGCCCTCTCCATAGCTCGCCGAGCGACGGCCTTAAGCTTCCTCATCCGGCCAGCAGTGAAGAACCACGTCTCAGTTCCATAGGTCATCACTGGCAACACGCAACCAGTGCGTATCGTCGGCAAATCGAAGGTGAGTGATGTACTCGCCATTGATGTTAATTCCGTATCCTTTCCAGCCCAGTAGCTTGAAAACGTCTTCAAATGCAGTGGTGAAGAGTTTCGGGGATATAACATCACCCTGTCTTACACCTCTCTATCGCGTATGAAACCTGTACGTTCTGAAGACACCACATCGCGCTCATCCAGGTCCACGCATAATTTTTGGGCAATAGCCAAGATAATATGTGTAGTATTTTCACCATTCGTTTCAGGGAATCTCGCTATCTAGATATCATTAGAGAGCAAGTCTTGATCACGTTCCAGTATTTGAGACTTCAACTGTGAAATCGTCTCCTCGAAAGTCGAAACTTCACAGCGTTGTAAGCCTTTTGATTTGTCTTCTAAGGCTGATATCCTGGTTTCGATGGAACCAATGCGGCTGCTTTGCATTTTAATGGAAGTCATGAGATCTGCTATAGAATTATGGAACAAGCGCATTTCAGCACGGATGGCCTTCATTTCACTAAGAAGCACTTTGAAGTCCATAGCTGTACCATCGAGCGATTCTGACATAATATTCTCCATTACGCTGCTCTGTTCTACATGAATATTCTTGTCCTGAGTATTTTTGTGGCGGACTGCCATATACGATTTCTCTGGTGAGACAACCAATGCAGGAGGACTAGAAATTTCAGAGTCAGCAGTACGCACCGGAGTATTCAAAATATTCGTACGCGGAAGTTTGCTAACACATGAAATGCATTTCAAATTATCTTTACACTCTTTATTAAACGAATAAAAATAATAAAAGCATTTACTACTTATATTTAGACATTCAATATCATAAACCTCTTTACAATTACAACAACGTAGATATTCTCTTTTGGTTAAAGGTTTCGTACATGCGGCACAAGTCTCGGTTGGTGGCGACATCATTTTATACAATAGAACTAGGACTTATTTCAAAAGTAAAATAATATTATAAAATCAGATGAATGAGCGCGTCCTCTAATGGGTGATCGTAGGATTGATCAAATTGATCTATTAGCATAAGTTCGTAGCTTATTTTGCCAGTAATTAATAGATGGCGTAATAATACACAAATTGTTACTCTCTTTTGGTAATCAATTATCACATAGATGTCGGTGATTTAATCAAATGTACATAAATTTTAACATTTTAAACTACTGTAACCGTCACTTTAATACTAAATCAATGTTTTTTCACTTTAGAACAAAAATAAAACGTTGATAGCACTGTGGCTTAGTTTATTAATACCGTTCCTTAGCGTTTCACTTTAAAAAGCACTGTCTTAGTACAAAAAATTCAAAACAATAACAATTTATAGGTCACTGATTCACTCCGTGGATTCACTGGATTACTTTAATCAACTTCACACTGATAATCTAGCTCCATCAACGAGATAACACTGGACATACTAAATTATGTTAGAATTAATACTTATATTATAGTAAAGTTCAATAAAGTTTGTTTATAATATTTTTAAAACAAATATTATACGGAGCCTATGTTAACCGCTTAAATAGCGCCACCTGTCTTTTATTTTCATGGTTTTCGAGGGTGTTGAAGCCGATAGTGCTGTCGAAATGTATTTAAAATACTTTTAAAAAATCCGTATAATCATGTTATACGTAATTTTTTTAATGCGCTTAAGGCATGCCCAATTGGATTTACCAATTTTTTTACTCTTTGCCCAACCCATTCCTGTATGTCACATATATAACCCAGTCCTGTATCCTATGACTCATGGTGGTATATTCACGCTATTGCCGTATAAATACAAGGGAAATATACGAGAACTAAGGTGAAAAGAAACGTTTTTCACTAGTGTGATGAATGTAAACGCACATATGTACCTCCTTTATGAACAAAGCCGGGAAAATCCTGACTGCAAACATACAGTTGCAACGACGTGTAGCCGGTGGAAGGTAAAGGAGAGATCTCCCGCCAGGCAAGGTATTCTGCCCGGGGAGCGGCCAACGCTCCGAGTGGTAGTTCGGAGCTATTCTATATATACTGCTTTAACTTCGGAACTTTGTTAGCGAGATTTAGGTTTCGATGTGTTTCGCTTGTGGCGCGACGCACATCACCCCCCTGCTCAGACCGAATGTTGATAGTGCAGTCCGATTCCCGGTGCGTCCTTAATGCCGGTGGTGAATGCATGCTGTGTGCGTAATGGCAAGTGACGCCAGTGCGAACGATATGCCGGTGTGTAATGCATGCCGTACTACGCACTTGCAAGTGATGCCGGTGAGAACGATGAGCCGGAGCAAGTGTCAGAGTTTGCCTTGTAGTCTGCGGTGAGTCGAGAAGAAGGCAAGTAATCTGCGAGAGTGCCGTGAAGTAGAGGCGAGCAGTAAGGCTCAGAGGAACAGGGAGCATTATCATTCCAGTGCTACGATGAACCTTTGTAAAGTTAGATGGCTTGCAGAATGTGAAGACTGCAGACAATATCTGCTCAGGAGCGAATGAATGGGGTACTTAAGGACGATGACGAAGATTTTGAAGTTATAGTTTCCGAAGGTTGTTGGTTGCGTGTTCATATCACGTCGGGGTCACCACTGTAACCGGTGGAAGGTAAAGGGGAGATCTCCCGCCGGGCAAGGTGTTCTGCCCGAGGAGCGGCCAACGCTTCTGTATATACTGCTTTAACTTCGGAACTTTGTTAGCGCGAATTAGGCTTCGATGTGTTTCGCTTGTGGCGCGACGACAGCGCCGCCACAGACGTATCGTGCCATACATTTCGCCTAGTTTAAAAATGAATGAAAAGGTTGCGAATGAGGCGACGTGTCACGTACATTATAATTATTAGTGTTTCACCTACGAGTCGAGTACGACCTAGTGTTCATTCGTAATTCAACTCTGTGATTTTGACTGATGAAATTACGTTACGGTTGCCAGTGAAATATGTAATTCCATAGTCTGTTTCATTTTGGAAATTATAATCGATAATATATGTGAATGTGACTATGAAGGCCATTCTTAGCCATAAAGACAAAAAGTGGGAAACGTATAAAATAGAAGTATCGACTACAATCGGAGAGTGAGGTTTTAAACAAAAACTGCTTTGCTCCTGTGGATAACTATCTGTACTGTCTGTCAAAGTGCACCGTGTGCGACATGTGACAAACTACCAACGGCATTACTAAATACAAAATACAGCAATTTAGTAATTCTTTCCTTATAATACGGCACACCGGACTGTGATATACGACAGCCCAGATTTACGATAACATCACTGGTGACCAAGTAGCATCTGCACCGAGTTTTGGCGGGAAATTGACCGGCGGCGGTTTGCTGCTCCTGTATTATTGTTTAAATAATGGTTTGAAGTGGACTTTGATATGTAAAAGTGTTGCGATTTTGTGTATTAAGTGTCTACGCATGTGAACTATTAGTGGAAACAGTGAAACAAGTGCTCTGATGGTGATGGATTCTCAAGATAAGCTGTTTGTTTGCATAGGCACCTTTAGATACCATCGCCAACTATCAGCTGTCTGCTGGATCAAGTTGCCGCCAAAATCTCCCAAGAACTGCACAATGTGACGCATCAACATATTGTGAAGCAGTATACTATGAAGGAGTGGGGAAATTACAATAAACCGAATAAAAATACTTAAGACTTGGCCTAAAGGTCTAGATACCAGGCCATAAACTCCAAAAAAAAAAGAGCATCTGCACCTGACAGCCTGACACTGACATTGATTGTTGACAAGTGACAACTGTTGAATTTGTATTATTTTGTATGTTTATAAATTGATTTATTCAATAAATAAATACAATATGACTGGTCATGTTTCTATTAAATTGGCATCGGAACGAGTAAATCATTGTGTTGCTGCTAATAATGAATTACCTCGCTTCTATACGCCTGGAGAGGTTATATCTGGTATGCAGGATTTCATGCGGTAAGATTTTAATTAATAATCCTTGCATAAAAATATATAAAAAGCCAGTAATAAAAATATTGATATAATTTGAATATTTTTTACAGCGGTCACGGAACATATACAGAAGATGATTGCCTTAAGTCGTCAGTCGCGGGTGTTATGCAAAAAGTTAACAAGTTGATATGTATTCGGCCACTGAAGAGCCGGTACGTGGGTGAAATTGGTGATGTTGTAGTTGGGCGCGTGCTTGAAGTACAGCAGCGACGTTGGAAAATAGAGACTAACTCACGTCTAGACTCTGTTCTTCAATTATCATCTGTTAATCTTCCTGGAGGTGAATTGGTAAGTTTAAATTCCTATCTGTTGTTTTCTTCATCATCACATCTCTTCACAAGTCCAATGCTGAACATTTGTATGGGCTTAGCTTTCCATTGACGTCTGTCGAGTTGGGGGTTGATATTTTTTTACCGATAGGTTATATTATTATAAGCACACAAGCTAAGTTTCATAATGCGGAATTTTTATTTATTATTGAGAAAAAAATTATTGAAAATCAATTATTTTTGCAATATTTATGCTAATCCCCATTGACGTCCGTCAAGTTGGGTGTTGATATTTTTTTTACAGAAAGGTTATTTTATTATAAGTACACACAAAGTTTAGACATTCAGAGACGTGTATTTTTGAGAAAAAAATTATTGAAAATCAATTATTTTTGCAATATTTATGTCAATTCCTACAGAAAAACTGACACTATTTAGCATTGTCAATGTCATCATCAGTAGGGATGTTGATTCTATCCGATAAAGATCGATTTTTAAATCGATTCGAATCGTAAGCTGATGTATCGATTCACAAAAAATCGGTTTCTAAAATATCAATATTTTTTCATGTTTGCATTTATAATGTAAATATAAATCCATTTTATGAAAAACATGAAAGATACCATAATAAATAATCTCTTATTGAAATTTGTTTTATTTTAACAGTACTTATTAGGGCAGATAACAAATAGGTCTTAACTGCGTCTTTTAGAAGATCCAGTTTTTCATTAAATCTTTCAGGTTGCTTAGATACTATGAAGATTTGCCAAAACTTTATCAATATCATTAAGTTATTAGTTATGTTCATAAGTATAATATTTCCTAGTAACAACTTTACATGTGACATATGTGACACAGTTATTAAAAAGATTAAGTATGCTAACCAACAGCAACACTTCTTATCACAATCTGATACAGGGCCTCTCCACAACATAATAATGTTACTTAAAAATTAAAAATTGTACAACCGACTCCAATATAAATTATTAAGAATAACTCAAAAACTATTGGTCAGACCTTGATCAAATTTATATGGGACCACATGAGAACCACCAGCTTTCAAATAAAAAAAGAATCATTGAAATTGGTTCACCCAGAAGTTATGAGGTAACACATAAAAAATAAACATACAGTCAAATTGAGTACCTCCTCCTTTTTGAAGTTGGTAGAAAATCATCTCCTTTTTAGTCAGTGGTCGATGTTAAGTTGAGTATGCAGTTCAGTGTTTATGTTGGATCCATAGTGTGTTTAGAGATGTTTCACAGAATGCTATTTGAGCACTTTAGATAATATATGTCGGAGGCACATGTTGAGGTCTCAGGGGTCCTTACTGGCATAAGGATTACTTTATAAATCAATAACATTGACAAAACCGGATGTCTTCCCCTTGCTTTACTAAAATAAACTTTGACAAGTACTACTTTAGAATCTATCTATTTATACTACAATAAAAATGTTCCTAGACTAAATCTGTACCTACATGTATGTACATTGAATATCTTTGTAAATTTCAATTATGTCATACTTTATCAATTTAGAAACCAAAACAATTTATTTTTGCCTCTGTATGTCCCTTTGAAACACAATAGGCTCTGAAACTAATAGATAGATTTTGATGAAACTTGGTTCTAGCTTAAATAACATTTAGGATTTTTTTCAATAATGTTCAAGTTGCAACAAGCCATAAGAAAGTGTATCTTTAAATTATAAAAATTATAACAATGGTAAAAAATAGTTATCTTGATAAATGACAAAATTATTGAATTAATTATCCGCAACTATCCGCGCGGTGAATTCGTGCGCAGTTCTAACCTATATTACACAAGATCACACTTGACGTCTCGCTTGAAATCAAAGAGAGAGAGATAGAAAAGCGGTGAGCGGGAAAGAAATATTTTGTCTCATAAACTTCTGTCAAATATTTTTTTTCTATTTCCTATTTTTTCTTATTTTTTTTAAAACGTTACTCCCACACTAGGATTTTCTCCTGTATCGTGGAGGCATTTTACAAACATAAATTGCACAAGGACAAACATCCAGACCCGGAACAATTATTTGTAGGCCATACAAATACTCGTTCCGTGCGGGATTCGAACCCGCAGCCCCCAATGCGTCAAATTTAAACGCGCGTGTATGTATATGTGAACTTCAGAGTATATTTGGCCAGTTTTTCTCTGGTCGAAGAAACTCTATTAAGATACTGCGATAAGAGACTTAATAAAAATAATGTTACTCAAATTATTTAAATTTCTTCAGACGAAAATATGTGTTTTTATCTGTTCTTAGCGTCGGAGATCGGCTGAAGACGAGCAGATGATGAGAAAGCATTTGCAAGAAGGTGACCTAATTAGTGCTGAAGTACAAAGTGTGTTTTCGGATGGCTCACTCTCTTTGCACACTAGAAGTTTAAAGTATGGAAAGGTATGAATTATTAAATTAAATTTTGTCGTAAAAATCTGTCATATAAGAAAGATGACAAGATGTTAAAAAAGGGCAAAGGAGAACATAATCATGATGTATAATAATACCAATTATCAGTTTCCATCAGTTCAAGAAATTGTAGTTTGATTTAATAGCACAAATATATTTTGTATGCCATGTAGGTATGGTGGCAGTGTATGAAAATCCAACACCCCATTTCGCTTATCTGTTTGGGCCTTCACGAGGTTCTCGTCATACGGAATGGTAATGTCGACTAAAAATATCCTTGACTGTGCTCAGTCCATCAACACAATATTAGGCTTATTCGCAAGAATAATCCTCTCTGTAATGATGACCTGGTCCCAGTAGAGCCTGGCGCGATCATTTTCGAGCACGGCTTTCGGCAATTTTCGGTCCACGAGACCATATTTCAGAGCGAGCTCCTGGTGTAGAATTCTGGCTACTAAGTTGTGCCTGTGCGAGAATTAGTGCTCAGAATTAGAAAGCGCCGAACAACCGGAGATGACATGCCTAAGTGTCTTACCGGGATGGCGACAAGCTCGACAGATGTCGACGGTGCCATCCTCCATAACTCCGAGAGTTGTTGGTCGTATTAACCTGATCCTATATAGCACAGACAAAACCCTCGGTTTCCCCAAAGAGGTCACCAAAACATAGCCAGTGGATGGTGGCTACTGTGTCTACGAAAGGCTCATGTAGAGTATCGTAGAACCTCCCGTGGAGCTCCTTCTTCCTTCATCCATACGGCCTCCCGGTCGGAAATGCTCTGTACTGCCGGGTCTTGCCATTGCTCGTGGACTAAGAATAGAGGGGTAAGCCTTTTATCACAGAAATGATGATCTCGTCATAAAGTAATTACGGAAGCTGCGCACTTCGCGATTATGCATGGTAAGCGCGCTTAAAAAGCCACGCCCACCATGTTTCCGCGTCAAGTACAGCCTCATAATTGATGATCTCGGGTGATTCATCCTATGGGACGTCATAGTACTGCGGAATTTTCTATCCAGGGCGTTAAGTTCACCTAAGTATGCCAAAAGTATACATGAGGACAGGCATGACCCAACCGTTATATGCGTGTGTCTTATTCACACTGGACAAAAGACTTTGGTCAAGTGTGCATAAAACACATCGCAAACTGACTATTTCATACCCGCCTCATCGATAAGGATGTTCTGTGACATACCCAGGTATCGGTATATTTCAGTCTCGGAAAGGGTCTTTGAGCTTGATAGATAAGTCTATGCCCTCAGAGTTAACTACCCTACCTCTCTCAACATGGATGACCGAACTCTTATCCGTCCCCAGCTCCATTCTAATAGAATTACTGAAATCACAAGTGATGTTTAGCAATTCCATATGATGGGAGCGACTGGAGGCGAATAACTTCAGATCATTCATATAGAAAAGGTGGGTCACTTTTGCACCTCCTTTCCGAAGCTGAAATCCCCTTCCGGAGTCCTTAAGTAAGGTACTGAGACAGTTCAGGGAGAGGCAAAACCATATTGGACTCAAACAATCGCCCTGGTACCCCTTCTTATCTTTATGCGGCTTTCCGCATCCGTCATCCGCTCGCCTAGATAACAAAGGATTGTACTCCACTGTCCCATACACTGCCTGAGGTAGTCTCTAACTGTACAGCCAACCTTGTAAAGCTCGAGGACCCTCTTTGGCCATGTATGGGGGGCACCGAGTCGAATGTCTTTCCGTAGTCTATCCCGGCAGCGGAGAAGTTCCGACGGTTGCATTTAACCACTTTGCCAATGACCGCATCAATAAGGAGTGGTTCCTTGGTCCCACAAGCACCGCCCCGACATCCATTTTGAGCGCGCGACATCACCTGATTTAAATCCAGGTGACGAATGATTCGCGTACTCAAAATGGATGTCAGTATCTTATATATGGTGGAACACGTAATGGGCCGGTATTTGCTCGGGTCTGTGGACTCCCGGTCTTTAGGAACCAAATGGGTGATCCCAGTAGTGAAGAGGCTCGGGAGAGACTTCTTGTCGAGAGCCTCTTGAAACTGTCGGGCGAGCACAGCGTGCCACACCACGAACCCCTTCAGCCAGTAGTGGTGCAGCCCGTCGAGTTCCGGTCTTTTCCAGTTCAGGGCCCTATGGACCACCTAAGCTACATCATCTGGCGTTATGATGACGGGGTCCATGGACGTAACACTCGCACACTGACTCGTCATAACTTCCGTTTAAGGGCCCTCGCTGTGGTTTACGGGCTCTGATTACAGGCCGCGCCAGAATGCGACAGTGTCGGCCTGATTCGGTGCTGGGCCCGTTCCACGTAACATTGGTTGCTCCAATGATTCATGGAGCCTCTTCTGATCATTCTGGAATAGACGATTCTGGTATATCGTGTAACAATGTCGACTTCTCGGTATATCGCCGAAACCGAAACCGCTTTCCCGAAGCAGCGATTCTCTGCTTCAGGTCGTCTATGCGCTCTGTCAGTTTTTGCGTTATATCCGGCTGGGGCAAACTGACATTTGTCCCAGCAAACGCCATTCTGACGGTGCGCACAATCCTTGGCCTTTTATTGCCCGAACAGAAGCATATCAGTCCGAGCCCGATTGCTTAGGGCTATGCGGGGAAGTCGCGGTCGAGTTTCGAGAGGCGTACTGCGCGTTTTCACAATCGCCTCTTCCAATGTACTTATTTGTTCTAGTTCTGGTTCCTGGGCTGTACTGTACGATCATTGTCTGAATCAACTACAACTGGGGGATTCACGGCGGCATCCACGTGTGCGGGTTGCTCTGCAACTTGTGGCGCCGCATCCTCAGCCGTGGCATTTTGAGGGAACAGCCTCACGTCGTAGCCGTTCGAGTTCGGCGCCATCAAATATGTTTGAGCGCAAGACAGTGGCCCTTTGCGCATCCTTCTAAATTCCGTCATCCATTTAATGGGCGTCAGTTAACATTTTTTTCATGGTGAGGCCATATGCACAAGCGGGCCTTTGCACCTTCAATTTTGTCGAGGCATGCTAACACTTCTTGGCAAGATGCTGACTGACTGTGTCACATAACTGTTACGTCAGCGGGCGATTCGTCACTTCCCTACGCCTGTGAATTATTATTATTATTATTAATGAAAAAAACTTTCATAGCGGTAATTAAGCATTAAGTAATTAAATTAATATGTGGGGTATCGTCCTCATCATCAACTGGTTGAAGATTTTCGATAAAGCGAATGTTGTGAATTCAAAATCCATGTTATGCTTGATTTTTAAATGTTCTCATGATAAATGAAATGCTATATGTATTTGTCTAATTTAATATTTAGTATACAAATATAATGTTTTTATTTTCAGTTGGTGCAAGGAACACTTGTGAAAGTGTTTCCATCACTAATTAAACGTAGAAAAAACCATTTTCACAATTTGCCTTGTGGCATATCTGTTATCATAGGTAACAATGGCTATATTTGGATAAGTCCACAGCAGCAAGATATACTGTTAGAAGATAATAAGGATGAGATTCAAAATTATGAATTGCAGGTATTGTTAAGACAGTCTTCTTTGCATCAGCTATTCATTAAATTAATTTGTTTATGCTATTAAGAGAAATGCAGGTGGCTTATGCTCCATACAAACGCTCTCGCCTGTTTTCTTTCATGTTCATAACCTTATAACAATTAATTTTTACAGTAAAATAAATATCAACCTCTTCTTTTTCCCTATGTTTTCCTTTTTGATGATACATTATCTTTATGAGCACTAGAACCCTTACAAAATGCTCAAAAATTCCTATTTAGACCGCTGTCAACAGAGGCCTAGTGTTCAAATTTGATAACTAATACTGAAAAAAGAAAATCATAGGTACACAATGTATATAATCCTTTAAATTGATTACACAATGTATATCCTTTAATAGATATTTTTAAATTGATTCAATATTGGAGGAGGAAATGGTAGACAGCCAAACTTCGAATTATGCATTTTTATTAAGGCTATTCAGTCGGATCTGCAGTTGTCTTTAACGAACGCCGAGCGCTCGCAGTGACAGTGATAGTTTCTTCAAATAACTAATTATCAAAAGTCCTTTATTGACCCGCATTTCCTCATAAACTAAAAACTAACATCCCAAAATTATAGGATACAGGTGTTACATAAATACTATGTGTGATTGGGTGTAAACTTAATCAACACATTGATTATATGGTAACAATTTTCTTTATAAGCAATTAACTGTTTGATGTTCTGCTGATGAATAAGTCAGGTAACAAGAATATTGCCTTGTATAATGTAATACTGCCATTTCAAATGAACCAGAGGTTATTGCTTTTTTACAATGTTTGAGTGATTAATAAGTTACTGTTTCACCTGGTGGTTAGTAGTTACTGTTAAAAGTTACAGCCTAAATACGTCCCACTGCTGGGCACAGGCCTCCCCTCATTTCTGAGGGGTTTTAGGGCAAGGAAATGACCGCCGCTCTGCCCCAATGCGAGTTGATGAAATTCACATGTCTATGAAATTTGTTTTCTTATTTCTCAGACATGCCGGTTTCCTCACAATGTTTTCCTTCATCGCCGAGCACGTGGTAAATCAGCACTTAAAATTGCAATTAACAATTTCATTGGTGCCGGCGGGGATCGAATCGCGGTTGCTCGCGTACTGTGAAATTTACAGCGAACGCTAACCATCTGAGCTACCACGGCTCGGCAAGAAAGGGAGTCCTGCCACCTAATATAGGTACCTACTAATTTTAAAAATTTCGTGCTTTTTGACGCTATTATTTAATCCATGTTTCTATTACAGCCCGTAAGCCGAACAGACAGAGAAACGATGGCAAGAGTAAAGAATTGTATTGCGGCATTAGTAGCATCTAAAATGATGTTAGATGACACAAGCATTATGTTTGCTTTCGAGGAGAGTTTGAAATACGACAATGTGAAAGACCTACTGGATCCGGAGGCGATGCTCGATATTGCGTTCTTAGCACAACATCGAATAAACACTGTTATGGAGGATTAGATTGTTTACGTCTTTTATTTACAAAATTATTATTTTAGATTGTTTTGACTACAATGACAACTTCGTAATACTTTTGGAAGATATCAACTGCACAGAACATTTTATGGTGAAATGTTTACGTGGTAGGGCCAAGTTGTAACTTGTATGGTTGCAGCACGCTAGACAGAGGATGGACCACAAGAATACCAGCATTAGTAGCTGCTATTACAGCAGCATGATGCTACTCTGTTACATATGGTAATGAGGCATTCGATTATAGTAGATTCAAAATCTATATAAATACCTTACTTACATATTATAAGGATATACGTTCTTGATCTTCATATTATGTTTGTGGGCGGATTAGTAATCATTCAAGATGTCATGCACTATTGACGCTGTTCCTCGTCTGGTTTGGTTAGTTTTATACTTTTATTTTTAGAAGAACATTCCAAGAACATATCGCACAAATCGCGTGCCAATAGTTATAGGAATGTACAACGTTCTTCAATTTGTTTGTTCGTTGTACAAAGGTTTTATAACTGCCATTATATTACATTACAGCCTATAAAAGTCCACTGCTGAACATAGTAGGCATACCCTGTAGCTTGCCTCATATGCGGGATTTCACTATAGTTGGCACGCGTGGCAGGCAGGTTCGCTACCGCAGCTTTGCATTTTGAATTGTTATCAGGATGAGCTGCTGCTGTCGCCGCCTATTCCCTGTTTCAGTTTCCCTCTGTCGCCTCTTACCCACGGGACGATAGTGACGGGGTAGTGGATATTCTCACACCGCAACTTCACGGTTTATATTTAATTGACGTAATACCAGGCCTGTCTCACTCCGCGCTTTAGATCTTGGAATCACACGTGATAGTAAACTATATTTCGATGTACATATAGAGAACATTATTAATAAAGCGTTTAGAATGTATGGGTTCGTCATCAGGTCAGGTAACACCTGTTTAAACAAACTTCAACATTCTTATATTTATTTAAATCATTGATACGTTGTCAGCTAGAATATGCTGTATCGATATGGAATCCACTTTATCAAAAATACAATTATATGCTTGAAAGGATACAAAAGAAATATCTTCGATACTTAAATTTTAAATGCAACCGCAAACGCTTGTCATAATCTGTTACTATAGAAATACAATTTAATTTATCTTAAATCTAGACGCAACATTACTTTAAGCTGTGTTTAAAGTAATGTTATTATGTGACCTACTCATAACAGGACGTAGTTATAGAAAAACGTCCAACCCACAAGTTATTCAAAAATACAGATCTACTTATTTTGACATCTTCGCGAAGATGAAATATCAAATAATCAAAATGAAGATGATGGAATAAGTAGATCTGTATATTTAACTCATTTTTGATTGTCACTCCCATGACTAACTTGACATTGGCAGAATGGGTCTGGCTACCCAATTTTGTTAAGGGTATCAAAAAATTGTATAAAAAATTACGAAACGGTATTCTTATTTTTTTTCTACCTTTAAAAATTACTGAAATATTGATGAGTAAAGTGGTATTTTACGGTAAGGGCGACCGCTTTGCTTCACATCGCGATGTGACGTCACAAACCGACACGTCGAAGCCACCAGTAGTCTTTGTTATATTTTTCCTATTCTCTCCATATTTATTTCCCATATTTTTTGTCATGTTATGTATTTATCAGTAACCTTTATTTTCTGTTGTTTTTTTTAAATTTCTGTTATATCACACTCCGTGGGAATAAAAGTACGATATGTGAAGATAAAATCCTGTAGATCAAGTTACACCTTAATGCAAAATTTCTACAAAATCAGTTTAGTACCTATTTCACGCATTGATTGTTTGCGACCATTGCATTTTCAAAACAGTATAGGTACCAACTACCAACGTAATACCGCAATCAGTTTATTCAAAAGTAAGTCAAAGTAATCCCCTCCTACAACTACATGTTTGCTCTATATTGTGTGGTCCACAATTCATGTATTTAGTTGCTTTTTTTATCCACATTTTCACCTAATAACCGCTAACTCCTTTCCCACCGAAAAGCCTCAAGACAATGTGTGACAGACCAAAGACCGGACATTGGCAGAATTATTGTGACATAGCCACAATACCAAATAACAGTACTAAATAACAGTACGAGTTGATTAATACTCACTGCATTAGTAAGTTTAAGTAAGTTTTTTTCATTTTATGTCGTTGTAAGTCATGTGCAACTTCGTGGTTCGGTCAGTTAATACCTACCTATGTATTACTGCCTAATTACTAATTAATGGTAAAGCTGTATACTTTTCGTAATCTTTTCTTAGTAACTTACCTTTAGAACTTTATTTCACGCATTTCTAATGATAAAAAATCATAATTTAGTGAAAAATACTCCGCAGCCATAAAAATATCCACTTTTGGCAGATTATCTGACTGTCTTTTTTCAAAGCCCGGTTCCATTTTCTTTATTTTTTTACAGCACTACACACCGTGACTATACATTACAAAATATAATCATTTTAAACGTTAAATGTTCAATACTTTAGTTTATAAATCAAATCAAATAGCTTATTTGTGATTCATAATAATAGATTAGATTATTAGAAGAAATTATTCATCTTAAATAATATTGATTACATTGGATTAGATTATTCATAAATAATTAGTTCAAAATTATTATATAGTCGTTGGGTTTATTATAACTATTTTATCATCTAATACAGTCAACCGGATATTAACTCCGACATTCGATATATTATGTAGGTAAACGACCGTATAACCGGTATTAACAGCGCGCTCGGAGTGGCATTCCTGAATAAAAAGTAAACGAAAATTGCAATTTGCTATGTACTTGTACATACTTGTTATTTAATTTCGCTTTAATTCTATGGCATAATCTATCAACGGCCAGTCAAATAAAAGTAATACAAAGAATCAATTTCTTTAATAAGTATATTAAATTGTGAGTATATAATATATAAAGAGTCAAAACTTACATTTACTTTCTAAAAGTGCATATCGAAAACAATCTCATCACATTCATAATATGTTTCAAAGTATGATTAACAACTTATTTTAATTTCATATAAAAACCTTACATAAAATCTAGTGGAGTGTAAGTTTCTCCCACTCGATACCTTAATATAGCAATAAATTGTATGATATATTTAGTCAGCCTCTACTTCATTATCTTGGAGCACTTTATCTATTTATCTAGGTTGGCAGTTACTAACGATTGTACGTTCCAAAATCGGAATCCCAACAAAAATTCGACTTGTAACGGGATCAAAATTGTTAGATTTTTCAATATTATTGGAAAATACTCGATTTGGTAATAACATTACCACGGAACTATCAAACTTTAAAAATTTTCCTTCATAATTTTTTACAAATAAGTAAACTACAATATAGGTAGTACCCACACGAAAAATCCAAGGAAATTCACAACTCTTGTTTTTTTGTTTTAATATTTGGCACAAATGTAAACCTAATAATTTAAACTTTCTTATTTCTTTTTCCAAGTATCTTCATAAGATTTTTAGACATGACATAAGGTTTCTCTGCGGATCCATCGTTTCTTTCACAGTCTTCCACTGAAATATAGAAATAAAAATATATAAAATTGATATTCCACTACCCATAACAAACATACAATTATTATACTATAATATTATTTTTAAAGTTATATACCCTTCTAACAATATTTGTTGAATGTAATATTATGAATATGAAAAATATTCATTTACTACAACAATTAGAAGTTAAAAATCAAAATTTTAAAATAACATTGACATTTATGCAACATACTGATGACATTATGTGGTAGAGTCATGCTGCAGCACGAATGTGGCAGCTCCACCGGACGCGGACCTACGCTCTCACAGAATACCAGCATAAAATTGCAGGTTAGTGCTGCTATGTTTAGTAGGGTGAGTGTAGAGAACTGGAGAACCTTTTTAATGAACTAAATGAGGCATTCCATCTTAGTCTTCAGGGGTGACAACGCATCTGCATTTTGATTCTTAATCGAGTATAGGCCACAGCATACTCTTAGCATTAGATGTGCTCGCATGTCACCCGTATTCTATAAAAATACTAACGTATAGTAGGTAGGTACTTACAAAAGCAAAGGAATAACGTATCTACAGCCATAGAGTATACGTTGAAGAATATTGTGCATATAAGATAGGTGGCTATGCTGAGTATTATGGCTGGAATGTAACTATAATGTAATCGTTCTCCTTGAGTAACTTCATACACATAATTCCACTGTAGAAGATAGTACACTGCGAAGCCCACACCAATGGAAATCAATAATTTTGACAGGAAGAAGATGAAATCCGTCACCTGTAAAGTATATTTTCAATATTAAATTTTGTTTACTGATTATGATACAATGTCAATAGGCAATATTCGTTACAAAATGTTATGCATTAATTATGCATATTAAATTCAACAATTTAAGATTTGTGTAATTTCTTTTTCTTCAAACGTGGGTGAGGGCCAGCCTCTTCGTCACAGCAAAGGACAATATAATATTTTAAATCAAGTGTAAAGGAATATTTTCTAAAACTATTTATAATTTCAAATATGTATAATTTTATCGAATTTGATGAAATAAATAACAGCATGGTTATATTATGTTTGTAAATTCAAAACCTATGAAATTACCGTTTTCGGTTCAATTGAAATTTAAAGTACGAATATAATATTCAAAGCGTTATTCCTTTTTTTTAAATCAGTTATATGTACATATTTTTTTTTTTTTTTTTTTTTGTAAATTCGTGTTACTTTAGCTGATTTCAAAAAAGGAGGAAGGAGGCTTGTAATTCTACTGTATGCTTTTTATATATAATTTTTTTTTGTACCGTATACGGACCTAGTACAAACAAATAGTGCGTAATTGGTACACAATCGCTTTCATTTGGAAAATTTTGACCTATTACATGAACCTCGAGGCTGTCCCGAGAAGATGGTACTGGAGGTGATAGTGAAAGCGAGCTAACGTCGACTTTGAAGTAAGTGTCAAAACAATATTAGATCATTAGCAGCAAAGCGAAGCTTGACAAGTGATAAATCACAAGCCGAGTGACGCAGAGACCCGCGTCCTAGCTTGCATTATTATTCGCGACTAGGGTTGCCATCTGTCCGGCTTTAGCCAGACATGTTTGGCTTTTTCGGGTTGTGTCCGGCCAAATTTTTATGTGTCCGGCCTCTCCGGCTTTTGTTAGGCTTTTTGTTAGTGTAACGCGTTGGACGCATCGCTTGCAGAATGAGCAAAGGAATGCCGCATTTGTGCCAAGCAAATGCCAGCCAGCAAAATATAGATTATTATTTTAAAGTTTTAATTGTACCTGATAATTGAAATAATAAAACTTATTTTGTTGTAGTTTTTAATTTTTTATCTTGAAATATGAGTCGTTTTTTAAAATTTGTTTTGTGAAAATGGTTAAGAACTTTGTTAAGAATTGTAATTTTATTTGTTTTTTTTTATAAAGTCTACAAACAGAAGACTGATTTTGTTGATTGTTATTGTAAGTAGGTAATAAGTGGTTTAAATTTATTTCAATCTGTGCTGTGATTGATTAATAAATAAGTAACGTATACACTTGAAACTGTGCTGTGATTGATTAATAAGCAATTAACGTATGTAACGGGGTATTTTAGTATTTTTTACTCGGGGGGTTGGAATTGGTGAGTTTTTTTGGCTGCATGGCCTCAGAAAGGTATGTTTGGCTTTCTAAAAATTACTGTCCGGCTTTTAGGGCCAAAAGTCCGGCTTTTTGGAGCGCCGAGTCCGGCTTTTTCATTTTAGGAGATGGCAACCCTATTCGCGACGGCCAATTAGTGTTTAAAATCGAAGTGATTAAAGACAATATTAAAAATGAAATCACCGACAAAATCGAGTGAATAATGTATTAACATACTTTTACAGCATGTTTATAACTCTTAATAGGATATCGTTTCGATAATAGTTAATATAAACAACTTTTATTGTATAAGAACAAATCGACCAATCACAGCGCGTCGTATCGTAGAACTTTCTAGAAGTTTTTAATTAACTGCGTAATAGTTGATACCGAAAATGATGGAATAATTTTGTTCCGAAAAAGTTATAAATATGATATTGAATTAGCATAAGGTATATAGATTAAGGAAGTGAAGGAATATTTTGTATAATTAAACGCATTTGGTAGTTATAGAAAAATTAAAGAATTAATGTACCCAAATATTATGAAATGTTATGAAAATTTGGGACATTTCGTTTAATAACTTTTTTTAAATGTTAATGTATTGAGTAACCTTTATGATATAATAATAAAGGACCAAAATGCCGATTTGATGATGTATAGCATGTTAGTGTAGGATTTAATCTTGTATAGAAAATATTGTAATTTATGCCAATTGTATAGTGAAAATTTCGTGCAATAAAGAGGCAAAACGGAAAATGGCAAGCGGCTCACTATAAAGTATAGCCGAAGTCTACCTTATGGGCTCAGGACCCAGCAAGCCAGCAACGTTGTAGTATGAAGAACTACCAGTAAGAAGCAGTAGTATCCGGTAGTAGCTGAAGTGACTAGTAGCAGTATACAATGAACAGTAAAAGTGTTAGCTAGCCGAAAAAAGTGGTAACTGAAATTCTCAGTTACATATAGTGAAAATGTTAGCTAGCCGAAAAAAGTGGTAACTGAAATTCTCAGTTACATATAGTGAAAGTGTTAGCTAGCCGAAAAAAGTGGTAACTGAAATTCTCAGTTACATATAGTGAAAATGTTAGCTAGCCGAAAAAAGTGGTAACTGAAATTCTCAGTTACATATAGTGAAAGTGTTAGCTAGCCGAAAAAGTGGTAACTGATATTCGCAGTTACATATAGTGAAAGTGATAGCTAATCGCAGAAAGTGGCAACTGATATCCGCAGTTACACAAGTGATAAAAATAGCTAGTTTAGTTGATAATAGCCGCTAGTCAGTAGTGTTAAGAAAACAAGCTACTACCAATAGATATTTTGATACTACCGAACAAATTAAAGAAACCTTTTGAAATATATAGTGACCAACCGATAGTGAACAACCGTAGTTGAACAACCGTATTCAACAACCGTGGTCAATAAAAAATAGTTATAAAATTTCGAGACTAATCAATCAGTCGAACCGCTGGCCAATATTTTGCCATTTGTATTTATAGATCGTGCATTTTAATTTTGAACCTCAGTCTACAGTATCCCAGCAGCACCCGCAAAGACGGCAGTAGAAGTATCCTCCGGAACCTATAGGTGTAGGACATGAGCGACTCGCGGAGTATCTCCGTCAACATTTACTCCGTAGAGTTTCGCCCGTCCGGCACAATTATAATGCTGAATCGGCATAAAAAGGAAGAAATTTTAAGTGAAATTGCTACTGTTAATGAAAAGCGAATCCTATACTACAATCGTAAACGTTCATCACAATGGTTAGATTCACATAATCAAGCCAAGCAGTACTCAAAACAAAAGATTTGCCAAGAAGCTTATGATTACAGTTACTGGTGTCTGTTATTGTACAGAATTGCAAATTAACGGTGGAGAAGCTGGCACTCAAACCGCGATCGGTAGAACTGATGCTCATGCAGCAGACTTATATAGCGGCTCATAAAATGGCAAGAATGTATTATTAGTTAAGGCAAATATTTTGATTAATTGGAGTTTTGTTATTGTAAAAAAAATCCCACACAAAACAACCATATCGTAGGTAAAGACCTGATATATAAAATACATTATACGTATACAGGGTATTTTTGGAACGCTCCCGAAAACTAAGACAGGCGGCAGCACCAAGTATACCTTTGATCATGGGTTACAAATAAAGTCGATCCTGATGAAAAAAAAATCATCTTTTAACAACGTTTTATTAGCTTTACTCACGCGCCATCATGTTAGTACAGCTAAATGAAACGATAATTTCATAAAAAATATCATGAAAATACTGAAACATAAAACCAGCAGTGGAAACTGAATTGATATCACCTGACTAATGGAGGTTAATGTACGCGCGAACGGTGAAAAACAAACGCTGGCCTTGAACTTGGGCACTGAGCGATTTATCACATATTGGTACGAAAGGCGCGCGACGGGGGAACAATCCGCCAGTATTAGTGTGCCTGCATGCTATTGGTTCCCGCGCTTTGTTCGCTCCAAAAATACAGTCGCATACACAGCTTACTTTGCGACTCGCGACGATGTTTTAAAAAGGAAGGAAAGAAAAATTATTTATATCTATTGTTTTATGACTAAACTAGTGATCGAAAAGGTAAATATGATAGGAGAAGGTGAATGGGGAAAATTGTGCAGTAAAGTTAAAAGTGTGGAGGAAGAATACCGAAAAAATTACCATGTGATCGACCTGATGACGGAAGCTCAAGCGAAGATGAAAGTGATGATCAAGTAGCATCCAGTAACACCAACACACCATTAACATCTGGCTTCCATGTGACCCAAGACGTCATAATGGACGGCGTGTTACCCTTAGCTAAAGTTTTCTTGTTACAAACTACTTTATATTTTACGATAGAAATAACAAATAATGCTCATGTAAACATTATCCATTTTTAATTCCCACCTCTTCCAAAGTTCTAAGTAGCTAGTAAAACACCTATTATGATTCTACATTAAAACAATTAATTACTATAATATTATAAAACAATAGCCCAATACCATGTAGTACTTTAGAACGCGATTGTACCCACACCCCCTCCGCTATCGACCTGTATCTAGCTCGGTACGAAACACGCGGTCGTAAGAAAAAAGGGCGCATCTAACAATTTATGAATAAATGAGTTAAATATACCATTCGATTCATGATAAGAAGGCGCATCTACTAAATTTTTTTAATATTCACAAATATCAATATTTTAGAAATTATCGTAAGAATTTTAGACGTAACTGTTGATCACAGATGACTTTTTTTAGTAGAAAAGACTTATACAAATTCAACATAAAAGAAAAGACTTATTTAACCAGTTGCTACGTCATCTTTAACAATATTTGCATCGATTACTTAAATTTCAATTATTCTTGGTCTTGTCTTATTATTCTATATCTTATAATTAAGAGCTTATATCTTATTGTTAAGAGCTGGTGTTTCACATGTGGTCCCATATAAATTTGATCGAGGTCAGACCAATAGTTTTTGAGTTATCCTTAATTATTTATATTAAAGTCGGTTGTACAAAATTTTTAATTTTTAATTATTATCGTAGTAAGTCTTGTATGATATCCCCTTTAAAATCATTACTTTTTAAAATTATTATTTTTTGTGTCTCACTACCAATGCTTTTCTAATATTTATTAAAAAAAAAAAGTAGTAAATTACTATTAGCGTCCTTTCAACTTCAAATGACCTTTCCAAAATATGTAAAATTGTTAAATGAATGGCAGTTTTTTTTTAATTTATTAGGTTGGAAAGACGCAAATAGTTATATGCGTCTTTCCTTCGATGTTTTTGTGTTGCCAGGTGTATTTTTTAAGCTAAGATGAAAAGGAAAATTCGTTTTATTTAAATAAATAAACAAATTTTTAAAAAAAATAAGTTCGTCCTTAAAATCTTCATGTCTCTACGTATATATTTCAATATAGATACCTTTTAATATACTTTAGACACGGGGTCTGAAAGAAAAATTCATCAATTTATTTTTTATTTCCATTTTACGTTTTTGTTAGTTACTTCCTTTTTTATTATGACGGCAGAATGCCTAACCCTGTCGCCTCACGCTTGTGACGCAGTAATTTTCAGCCTTGATGGGGTTCGTTGGTTTTAGTTTTTGAGACAGTTTCGTGTTGATTTTGTACACGCGTGCGCGAGCGACAGTTCAATCGTTTTGTTAAATAAATTTACTTGTGATTACGTGTTGATATTAAAGTTTTTGTTACGTTTTTGGATTCTTTTTTGTTTTAATAATGCCTAACGCGTACGTTTATAGTGGTTATTATACTGCCGTTGGTTATTATATCAGCAACAACGTGTGCCTGGTTCCATTGAGCACATTATCTGGACGGATGAGTCGACATTTACCAGAAACGGCCTGTGGAACCGAAGAAATACACACGTGTATTCAGAGGTTAACCCGCACGCTGTTCGACAAACCGGGCACCAAACCCGATGGTCGGTTAACGTATGGACAGGTTTATTTAAGGATCGCATACTGGGACCAGTGTTTCTGCCAGAGCGACTGAACGGACAGCGATACCTAAACTTTATAAATGAACAGTTGGTTGACATTTTAAACGACCTATCGTTGGCTGAATATCGCCGCACATAGTTCCAACATGATGGTGCCCCTCCACATTTCGTGAGGTTCGTCCGTGAGCGCCTCAATGAGCTATTTGATGATCGCTGGATCGGCAGACTAGGACCACACGCTTGCCCACCTCGCTCACCAGATCTGACTCCGTTAGACTTCTTTTTGTGGGGTATGTGAAAGAAAGGGTTTTTAATCGTGAATGTGATAGTGCTGAAGAAATGCGCCAAAGGATCGTGGATGCTTTCGAGAAACTACGTACGGACTGTGTCGAAGACCACACGATGATGCCCCGCCTGCACCCAAGTCTGCCTTGAAATGAATGGAGCACAATTTGAGCCGCATCTCATAAGACCACGGAGGATTTAGAGCAGTAAGCTGTTTCATAACTATTTTTTTTTAAATAACTTAGTACTAGACTAATCTGAATAGGTACATAACTGAATACACGAGAATAATAAACATACCTACACGATGAATAAAAACGCATGACTCCAACCTTGGTTACATTTCATTTAAGTATTTCTTCATTAGCGGGGAATCGAACCAGTTATTTGGGTTATTTAACCTGTAAATTCGGATTAAAGTGGCTACGTGGAGATAAGCACAGTGGCAAAATAGTAGGTTAAGTAGATAAGTTAGGTATTTAGACACGTGTTGTAAATTATTAGGTATTGTTGGAAGGCCCGCTAGTTGCGGGCCGCGCGAATTTGTGTTCGCGCGTACATTGACCTTTATCTAGCTCAGGTCAGGTGATATCAATTCAGTCATTCCACTGCTGGTTTTATGTTTCAGTATTTTCATGATATTTTTTATGAAATTATCGTTTCATTTAGCTGTACTAACATGATGGCGCGTGAATAAAGCTAATAAAACCTTGTAAAAAGATGATTTTTTTTTCATCAGGATCGAATTTATTTGTGACCCATGATCAAAGGTATACTTGGTGTTGTCGCCTGTCTTAGTTTTCGGGAGCGTTCCAAAAACACCCTGTATAATATCAATATCTATATCAAAACTATTGAATAATTTTACCTTGTCAAGTACAATAACCCGCATGATGTTTCTCATAAGTAGGGAAAAGGCATCCCTTGCGCTAGTGCAGAAATTCTTTCCGTGAACCGCGCACATAATATAAGCGTTCTTGTTGATGAACTTGAGAAAGTTCTCCAGGCACCAGAAGAAACATTTACAGCAGCACAAAATGCAGCGCGTAAATGAGTTGTCAAACTTTTTTATTTTGTGGTCAATGTACTCCAGAATGACTCGAATAACTCTGACGATAGCAATGATTAATGCTCCCAAAGCTACAGTTCCTAGGTGGTAGCTGCAATGTTAAACAATACTCCATATTAATTTATTTGTTTTTCATCATTATCATAGTTTACGCAATATTTTTTTTTATAGAATAAGGGTGACAAACGAGCACACAGTTCACCTAATGGTAAGTGGTTGCTGTGGCCCATAGACATCTACATCTATCTTCGTTTGCGAATTAAAATGCACATGCATTGTCAGCCGTGAGGACTAAGATAGAATGCCTCTTTTCCAGTAAAACGGGTCTCCGGTTCTCTCAAAATATGTATTTGCTACTAGAATCTTGACTGGCTCGTTGGACTAGCGGACATGTGAGGTCTAAACGACTACTCATCATGAGTTCTCGGATCGGGCCATAAATCAGTTAATGGGTTTTCCTGTCGAGAACCCGGAGCTAGGAAGTTGGTGGTGTTTCATCACCGTGCCTCCCATCAAGCACGTAAAGCCGTTTTACGTGGTAGAGCCACGCTGCGGGTATATTATGGTTGTAGAATGAATTTGTTGGCTCGGTCGGGGTAGGACCACGCCCTCACGGAATACCAACTTAAAATAGCAGCTTAATACTGATGTGTTTCATATGATGCGTGTAGAGAACCGGAGACCCTTTTTACTGGAAACGAGGCATTTCATCTTAGTCCTCAGATGTCGACTCATTTATTCTTAATTGAGTATAATAATAATAATAATATTCCACAACTATCACATAACGCCATCTAGTCCCAAGCTAAGCAGAGCTTGTGTTATGGGTACTATACAACTGATAAACATACTTATATATTTCTAAATACATAAATATTATACATAAATTACACCCAGACACAGAACAAATGATCGTGCTCATCACACAAACAGTTGTCCTGGGTGGGAATCGAACCCACGACCTCCGGCGTAGCAGTCAGGGTCACTAACCACTAGACCAACAGGCCAGTCAAAGTAAATGTAGATTTCTATTGGCCACAGCATCCACTTACCATCAGTGTCACACTTATTCCATAAAAAAAAATCTGCGCCTGATCCCTGATCGGTCGTGTCCGATTGCTTGCCGATCGCACTTTAAGTTTGAGAAAACAGAGGCTGCATCTGTGTTTCTTTCGCGTACAAACTCGTGCACTATAATCCTGTCCTGCGCAGATGGCTAGTCCAGTGACACTGGCCGCCGTTACCGAAATTCGGTCTGAAGAACCTTATTACTAAAATATACAAGTATAAACAAAAAATACTATTACTGATAATAAGAGAGATGTTTGCACCGGTGTTTTTAAAACGAAATTAAAAAGTAATAAGTTATTTCTTAAGAGTATATAATGTAAGTTATGTAAGCGAGGTTTTTGCAAAAATTTCGCTGACACAATTATCGCATAAACAAAATTTTACTTCGTTTCAGTGTTGATATCATTACAATAAATCAGTCTTCCGACTATAAAATAGCATTTAAACTCAAGAGGGTACGCACCGCAATGTCCTGTAGATGCCAGAGGTGAGCGTAAAAAAAGGCAAGTCTCTCTTGTGAGCGGTCCAGTACCACGTCGAAAAGGTACTAGCCAGCATCATGTCTGCTACTCCACTAATGAAGAACATCGTCCAGAAGAAACCCAAGAGGTTACCAACTGAAATAAAGTTTTAAAATTGAGGGTAGAAAACTACGTATTCAAGTTGTATAAGGGAGGTACCCTGCAGGCAACTAGCTTGGGTCATTTTACAAGTCTTAATTGTTGACGTTATTCTGTCCGTCATGGTGGTTCTTTTAGTACATGCAAAGAGGTTCTTGTTGCAGCTAGGCTGCCCTATGTCGCATCGTGAGGGTGGTGTTGCTGTTGGTTACACATTAGCATTAAATATATCATTTTGGCGATATATTATATTTAATGCTAATGTGTTTCATGATTTTTTGTAACATAAAATAGTGTTCATTTATTTTAATAGTTTTAAGAATATTATTTTTTATAGTATAGGAGCGTTCACCCCCTAGAAATTATACAGAAAAATCACCTTGTTGTAAAAAACTAAAACAGCAGTTTTTTTTATTTATAGAAGAGGGGGCAAACTAGCATGCGGCTCACCTGATGGTAAGTATCTACCGCCGCCCACGAACAACTACAACACCAGGGGGAATCGCAGGTGAAGAACATTGATAAACTTTTAAAAAAGAGTAGTCTTTTTTCTTGAAGGTCCCTTTAAGGTCGTATCGGTCCGGGAAAATCGCTGGTGGTAATCGATTCCACAAGAAAGTTGTGGGAGGAAGAAAACTTGTAAATCGTACAGTGGTATGGATGGTAGCGCGAGTTTTGTCGCGATGTGCGATGGTGAAATTGAGCAGCTGGAATCGGTCCGAACAATTCAGAGCACTCCCCGTGGTAGATGCGATAAAATACGCAGAGCTGCAACATATTGTCGCAGTGCCAGTAAATCTCTTTCAAGTGACCACGAAACTGCACGTCATTCGATATGTCGTCGCCGAGCTTTCCGATACTGCTGAGGCAACAAGGGGAGTGCGCTGATGCTAAGGAGATACGATATAGGGATTTTGTGTAAACGTGCAAACTTGTGGCTTCTGGGAATTGAACTGGACTAAATATAGTCGTCCCCAACCCGAGACTTTGTTCAACAAAGTCTCGACTTCAGACACAAGTTTGTTCCGGTAATCGGCGACGTTTTTCCGAGAAATATTGGCATGACCGGTGTGTAAAGCATCAACAGTGCTGTCGTCCGCATAACAATTAATGTTACCGGTTTGCAAAAATCATTGATATGCAGAAGAAACAACGCTGGTGATAGCACACCAGCGTTAATAGGCTTGTAATCGGAGTACGCACCGTCTATTAAAATCTTGATGCTCCTCCGAAAAAATTCACAAGAAAATTGGTGATGAAATTGCAAAAATTCACGGGAAGCCCATAGGAAGGAAGCTTCGAAATAAGCGCTTTGTGGCAAATCCGATTTATGGCCTTCGCAATGTACAAACTAACAGCCAAGGCCTCCCCCTTGGACTCTACTGCCTCCGCCTATCTATGAGTTAAGTAATCCAGAAAGAAGGTTAGCAGCTTGGCGATTCCGATTACATATAATTCTCTCTTTTTATTTATTACTATTACGAATTTATGGTAAGGAAAGTAAATCAACACGGCCCATAATCTACTCGTGCAAAGGTCTCCTTTCATCATTACTGCAACGTTGCAGTGAAAAGAATTTCGCGATGCTGTTCTAGCACATGTTACACATCCTCACTTTCCTCTCGCTAAATTAAATTTTTCCCCAGATGCTTTCTTCACCATTGAGTACGTGGTAAATCAGGATTTTTTTTACTATACGAAACTATTCAATAATAATTAATAATCATTAGAAGTACTTACGATGCATATAAATGACACTCTTCGGATTTTCGATTCCAGTAAAATGGCAGGAAGCAAGCTGGCAGGGCTGTTGGTAGCTTGCCCCCGGACTCGTATCACGACACTTGAGTGTGAAAGTTGACGGTTCGCAACTGACGTAATCCTACAAATTAAAACGTAACTAGGTTATGCTAATCCTGATTCTTACAGATCTCGATCAAGATCTAGGCCCAATAGTAATTTAACTACGGTAATTTAAGACTTTTTTTTAGTTTTTTTTTTAATTATAGGTATTCTAACTATGTACCAGTTTATCCAGACCCCAAAAACCAACATTTTGTATTTTAGTATAAATGTTGTCTCACACAAAAATGCAATTAAGTAAGTAATTTAAGTAGCCCGGTAATCTGACAACTTGGCCACGCATGTAATCAATAACATATTAAATACGCTACTGAACACAAGCATATTGCGCTAGCTGGCATATGCATCTCTTGGAATATTCGCTCACCACGCCAAACTGCTTGGTTTGTAAGCGCAAAGTTGATACTACAGATCTTAAAAAGTGTATTCCTTAATATTGGTAATGCTGCTCCCCATCACCAATCTGTGTAGGATTTGATATGAATAAAAGATATAAAAAAAAAACATACATTTTAATTGCCTACATTGCCGTGTAGTGGCGGTCAAGAATATCCACTACCCCATATTCTCCCGTGGGTGACAGGCGACAAAGGGAAACAGGCAGGAGATGGGCAGCAGCATCTTCCTGATAATAGCCAAAATTACAATAAAAAAACTGCGGTTGCCAACCCGCTCAACTATGGCAAATACCCTCCAATGATTAAAGCAGCAAACAGACGGCCCCCAGTCCCCGGCGGCCCCGCTATTCCTGGCTATGGTGGCGACCATGGTAACGGCGGGGCAGAGGGTGCTAAGAATCTCCGGTGGAGGTTCGGTTGCCACCTTAGACGACTCGACCTGGCAACGTACAACGCACGCACCCTGAGGACTGAACCTTAGGACCTTATACTCAGAATCACCAAACGGTATTCGCTGAAGGTCATACAGGTTTACGCACCAACCTCGGCACACCCCGATGAGAAGGTGGAGGAAATGTATGAGGATATCTCTAGAGCTATGCATTCCTCCAAAATCCAATATACGGTGTTAATGGGAGACTTCAATGCAAAACTAGGCACAAGAGAGAACGGTGAGCTGAAAGTAGGGAAATTTGGAATAGGGCAACGGAACCCAAGGGGCCAGCAGCAGGCCGACATCATGGAGAAAGAGGGACTCTTTATGATGAACTCTTTCTTCCAGAAGCGGCCCCACAGGAAGTGGACCTGGTCGAGCCCCGACGGTTCGACAAAAAATGAGATTGACTTCATTATGACGACCAGACGACAACTGTTCAGTGATGTATCCGTGATCGCGAGGGTGAAAACTGGTAGCGATCACCGAATGGTTAGAGGCACACTGAACCTAAACGTTAAGTTGGAGAGGTCTCGTCTAATGAAGTCAACGCTCCGTCCGCCTCGTGCTCTGTTCCAGAGTCCCGAAACCTTTCAGCTCGAGTTACAAAACTGTCCACGCAGCCGAAGTTAAGTTCTGCAAGACCCGCCGCAGAAGAAAGCACAAACTCTCCAATCACACTTAATCTCATGGCTGTTTGACGGGAAATGAAGCTGCAGTCTTCAACAGATTTGACAGCATACAGGCAACTGAACAGACAGATCTCCAAATGCATGCGGCGGGACTTACGCAACTTCAATACAAGTCTTATTGAAGAAGCGAGCGAGCGGAACCAGAGCTCCAAAGTCTTTGCCAGAGATCTGTCTGCCAGAAAGAGCCAACTGTCAAAGCTGAAGATCGAGTGTGGCATCATCGTTTCCGGGATACCTGAGATTTTGAGTGAGATTGAGAGGTTCTATGGGCAGCTGTACACGTCATCGTTGGAGCCACACGCAAGTATGAGTAAAGATCAAAGAGCAAGTCTTATCCGACACTATTCCGGACGTCAGTCTAAGCAAGATTAGAATGGCTCTCCAGCACCTTATAAACGGGAGGGCCCCAGCCGAGAATGGTATTACAGCGGAGTTTCTGAAATTGGGTGGCAAACAGGTACTTGAAGTCCCTCAAAGCTCTTTAATTCCGTCCTCCATGGTGGCACTCTACAATGGAGGCGTGGAGCAGAAGTGCGATGGTCTTGTTCTTCAAGAAAGGCGACAACGCTTTCTTGAATGACTACAAACCGATTTCCCTTCTGAGCCGCGTCTACGTGCTTTTTTCGAGAGTCATTACGAATCAAAACAAAACAGACTCGACGACTTCCAGTCTTCCGAACAAGCCGATTTCCGAAAAGGCTTTAGCACCATAGACCACATACATACCCTTCGGCAAATTGTACAGAAGTCCGACGAATACAGTTTGCCACTATGTCTGGCCTATGTGGACTATGAGAAAGCCTTTGATTCCGTCGAAATTTGGGCAGTACTACAGTCCCTTCAGCGATACCGAGTTGACTGTCGGTATATCGAAGTGATGAAGTGTTTGTACAGTAGGGCTACGATGGTTATCAGAGTACAGAACCAGAGTATGTAACCTATCCAACTGCAGAAAGGTGAGCCGCATGCCAGGGTGACGTTATATTCCCCAAACTTCTCACCGTTGCATTGGAAGACGTTTTCAAGCTACTGGACTAGAAAGGATATGGTATTAACATCAATGGCGAGTACATCACTCACTTTCGATTTGCCGACGATATAGTCCTTATGGCAGAATCGCTGGAGGATCTAAGCACTATGCTCAATGACCTCAATAGTGTCTCCCAACGGATAGGCCTTAAGATGAACATGGACAAAACAAAAATCATGTTTAATGTCCTAAGCTCAGCATCTAAGCTCGAAGTTGTTGACGAGTATGTTTACCTGGGACAAACAGTCCGACTAGGTAAGTCCAACTTCGACCGAGAGGTCAATCGACGGATTCAACTCGGCTGGGCAGCATTCGGTAAATTACGACACATCTTCTCGTCGAAATTGTACAACCAGTGCATGTTGCCAGTGATGTCTTATGGATCTGAGACTTGGTTCTTCACTGCTGGCCGTATGAAGATGCTCAAGATCGCTCAGCGAGCTATGGAGAGGGCTATGCTTGGGGTTTCTTAGGAATGAGGATATACGCAGTAGAACCAGAGTGGCTGACATAGCCCAACGGATTAATAAGCTAAAGCAGCAATGGGCCGGCCATATAGCTCGAAGAACCGACAACCGATTGGAAAAAATGTTCTCGAGTGACAGCTTCGTACCGGTAGACGAAGTGTAGGGTGACCACCCACTAGATGGAGTGACGACCTGGTAAGACATGTAGGCAGTCGATGGATGCAGGTGGCTCAGGACCGTCCTTTGTGACATGACTTGGGGGAGGCCTATGTTCAGCAGTGGACTTGTAAAAGGCTGTAATAATGATGATGACACAAATATAGTTCCGTGCGGGATTTGAACCCGCGGCATTCAGTGCCATAAATCATTGCTTACCCACTGCCGTCAATCTGTAGTTTATAAAATTTAAAGTGATAAAAACTTGAAAACTGGTTATTTACATAATATGGTTTGTAAAAATGTTATCAACGTATATCGTAGTCCTTGGCCAGCTCGTTCACAAAACGTGTGCGCACAGGTCGGTGGCACCGACTCGGTGCTCTTGAGTGGTCGTAGTACGTAGTATGTATGTATGTATTAGTATGTATTTATTCTGTGGCAGTTGGTATTTAAATCACTTCGTTTCTATGGAGAGTAGGGAGTGTGCTTGAACTTTGATAAGGCCTTCATTAAAGAAACACTACACTCATAATGTACATTTTTCTAAATTAGGTAGTAAAAATATAATATATCTAATAAAATATTTTTGTTTAGTTTTAATAACAGACCTCTGTGTAAACGCCGCCACAATCACAGCTGGTGTCATTTTTTAGGTTAACAACTCTAAATGCCGAATCTCCTATAGACAGTAAGTACATAAGCACCAAAATTCCGTATGCAATCACCGCGCACTGGAATAGCCATGGGAATATTGGAAAAAGTATCGTTGATTTGATGGCAGTAACTGCTCTGAAATATGAAAACAAAAGAACTTTGATAAAAACATTTATTAATCGACGAATCTTTTAAAACGTTAACATTGACAGGCAAGTTGATAATCTAGGTGCTCCACGTCCTGTATTATATGATTTAAAAAAAACTTTTAGTTTTTTTTTGCTTTTTCAATGTCATTATTGAGGGTTTTACATATTTTAGCAGTTTTCTTATATACAAATATCTCTGTGACAAAAACGAGCTCTCCCTGATAGGTTTATAGACGGCTAGCATGGGAGCGTGCGTGAGCTCACAGGATATAATGAAATAATTGATAAGTGACATAAATGATAAACTAGAAAAGAAAGCTTTAACATGAGTAACATGCAGAGCATCTGTACAAGTTATGGCGAAATCTTTTCTATTTTATTTTATTCTATTATTTATAAGTTAGGTATTTTTAGATCAAGAACAGTAAAAATAAAGAAAGTAATCGTCAAATCCGGTAGGTAGGCGGATTGGCTATAGCGGCAATAGACCTCTTGCTTTTATGACGCAGCTGCCGTTACCGACCTTGAAAATAAGATGGCTATTCAAATACATAAATAATGTTATACCGTTATTGCAGTTTTGGAAAATACGAGTAAATATGGCTTACTTTTATTTGAAATTATCCCAAATTAAATGTGATGGGCATCTTTGGGCCTACCGATTGACCCTTACAAATGTGTGCATGCGCAGTAAAATCAGTTAAAATAATGCATTACCACGCATTTTGAATTTAAAAGATAAAAAGGACAGAATGTTAAAGATTATTTTAATTAACTTTTTTCATCATTTGCCTATATTACTTATTATGAACCTTTTGAGGAAATTTGGCCGGTTATTGCAAAATGCAAAATAACCCTGTATAAAAAAAAAGGTAGTACACGTTACTAGCACGCCAAAATTGAAGCGTCAGAAAGTGGTAAAATAGCCACTCCGGTTCTTGGCTTACGAATATTACGCTATGATTGCGCAAACTTAAGGAAAAGGACAACAATAGACGTTCCAGAACTGGTGAACACGAAGAGTCAGAGAGAATGTAGTGAAATTTAAGTAAAACATTAAAATGCGTATTTGAGCTACTGTACCTACGCATACTTTACGCGTATTTTGAGCTACGCTACCGTACTATACATACTTATAAAGTATCTTCAAAGTAATATCATTGGCTATACCGCCATGTATCGAAGGTCATACAAATTTTATGACATTTTCCATTGCCGCCATTATTTTAAGAATAGGCTTCTTAACCTTTTGGATAATTAATGTAAGCCTGCCCAGCATCATATTGCCCCGTGTAGTGGCGGGTAAGAATACTCACTACCCCATGTCTTCCCGTGGGTGTCGTAAAAGGCGACAGGGGGAACCTGAGACAGAAGATGGGCAGCAGCATCTTTCTGATAACAGCAAAACAACAATAAAAAAACTGCGGTTGCCAACCAGCTCGCCAAGCGTGGCAACTATGGCAATATACCCCCCATTAAAGTAACGAAGAGACGGCCCCCAGTCCCCGGCGGCCCTGCTATTCCTGGCTACGGTGGCGACCATGGTAACGGCGGGGCAGGGGATGCTAAGAATCTCCGGTGGAGGTTCGGATGCCACCTACGACGACTCGACCCGGCAACTTACGCAACGTACGCACCCTGAGGACCGACGAGAAGATCCTGGAGTTGGAAGAAGAGATAGACAAGTTGCGCTGGAATGTCATAGGATTATCCGAAGTCCGAAGAGAGGGGGAGGACACGGTAATCCTTGAATCCGGCAATTTGTTCTATCACCGGGAGGGTGACCATCTGTCCCAAGGAGGTGTCGGATTTATCGTCCACAAGTCTCTCGTTAACAACGTTGTAAAGATTGAGGGTGTGTCGACGGGGGTTTCGTACCTTATACTCAGAATCACCTAACGTTATTCGCTGAAGGTCATACAGATTTACGCACCAACCTCGGCACACCCCGAAGAGGAGGTGGAGGAAATGTATGAGGATATCTCTAGAGCCATGCATTCCTCCAAACCCACTATACGGTGTTGATGGGAGACTTCAACGCAAAACTAGGCACAAGAGTGAACGGTGAGCTGAAAGTAGGGAATTTCGGAATAGGGCAACGGAACCCAAGGGGCCAGCAGATGGCTGACTTCATGGAGAAAGAGGGACTCTTTATGATGAACTCTTTCTTCCAGAAGCGGCCCCACAGGAAGTGGACCAGGTCGAGCCCGAGCTACAAAACCGTTTTCAGTGCCTTGAAGATTGCAATGCAGTGAACGATATGAATGACAAGCTCCGCACGGACAATTTCCACGAGCTTGTCATTAGAGCTAAGTTTTGCAAGACCCACCGCAGAAGAACACAAAAACTCTCCGATCACACTCTTAATCTCATGGCTGTTAGACGGGATATGAAGCTGCAGTCTTCAGTAGATTTGACAGCATACAGGCAACTGAACAGACAGATCTCCAAATGCATGCGGCGGGACTTGCGAAACTTTAATACTGCTCGTATCAAAGAAGCGACCGAGCGGAACCAGGGCTCCAAAGTTTTTGCTAAAGATCTGTCTGCCAGAAAGAGCCAACTGTCGAAGCTGAAGACCGAGTATGGCAGCGTCGTTTCCGGGACACCTGAAATTTTGAGTGAGATTGAGAGGTTTTATGGGCAGCTTTACACGTCAGCCACACGCAAGTATTAGTAACGATCCAAGAGCGAGTCTAATCCGACACTATTCCGAAGATATCCCGGACGTCAGTCTGAGCGAGATTAGAATGGCTCTCCAGCACCTTAAAAACGGAAAGTTCCCTGGCGAGGATAGAATTACAGCGGAGCTTCTGAAAGCGGGTGGAAAAGCGGTACTTGAAGTCCTTCAGAGGCTCTTTAATTCCGTCCTCCATGGTAGCACTACACCGGAGGCGTGGAGCAGAAGTGCGGTGGTCTTATTCTTCAAGAAAGGTGACAACGCTCTCTTGAAGAACTACAGACCGTTTTCGAGAGTCATTACGAATCGTCTAGCGCGCAGACTTGACGACTTCCAGCCTCCCGAACAAGCCGGTTTCCGAAAAGCCTTTAGCACCATAGACCACATACATACCCTTCGGCAAATTGTACAGAAGTCCGAGGACTACAATTTGCCACTATGTCTGGCGTATGTGGACTATGAGAAAGCCTTCGAAATTTGGGCGCTGCTGCAGTCCCTCCGGCGATACCAAGTTGACTGTCGGTATATCGAAGTGCTGAAGTGCTTGTACAGTAGGGCTACGATGGCTATCCAAGTACAGAACCAGAGTACGAAACCTATCCAATTGCAGAGAGGTCTAAGACAGGGTGACGTTATATCCCCGAAACTCTTCACCACTGCATTGGAAGAAGTTTTAAAGATTCTGGACTGGAAAGGATACGGTATTTACATCAATGGCGAGTACATCACTCACCTTCGATTTGCCGACGATATAGTCCTTATGTCAGAATCGCTGGAGGACCTAAGCACTATGCTCAATGACCTCAATGGTGTTTCCCAACGGATAGGTCTTAAGGAAAACAAAGATCATGTTTAATGTCCATGTCACACCTATGCCGATAGTTGTTGGGAGCACTAAGCTCGAAGTTGTTGACGAGTATGTTTACCTGGGACAAATAGTCCAACTAGGTAAGTCCAACTTCGAACGAGAGGTCAATCGACGGATTGAACTCGGTTGGGCAGCGTTCGGGAAATTACGGCACATCTTCTCGTCAGGTATACCTCAAAACTTAAAAACGAGACTGTACAAACAGTGCGTATTGTCAGTGATGACCTATGGTACTAAGACGTGGTCCTTCACTGTTGGCCGGATGAGGAAGCTTAAGGTCGCTCAGCGAGCTATGGAGAGGGCTATGCTCGGAGTTTCCCTGCGTGATAAACTCAGAAATGAGGATATCCGCAGTAGAACCAGAGTGACCGACATAGCCCAACGGATTAGTAAGCTGAAGTGGTAATGGGCCGGCCATATAGCTCGAAGAACCGACAGCCGATGGGGAAAAAAGGTTCTCGAGTGGCGGCCTCGTACCGGCGGCCGAAGTGTAGGGCGTCCCTCTACTAGATGGAGTGACGACCTGGTAAGATATGCAGGAAGTTGATGGATGCAGGTTGCTCAGGACCGTGCTTTGTGGCATTCCTTGGGGGAGGCCTATGTTCAGCAGTGGACTTGTGAAGGGCTGTAATGATGATGATGCCCAGCTCTGATAAGTATCTGTACTTTACTTTCAAATGATAAAATAATATGAAATAATATGAAGTGTCCGCAACATCTATTGTATGTAATCCTTATGATTCATCAAACTCCGAAACTGTTCTTACTAATATACTTAATTTAATTAATATATTTCACTGAATCTTGAATTACAAATTTCTGTACTTTTCGGGCTGTTTACTCCAATAAACTCTGTTATGTTTATTTGAAAATTCTCTGTTACCTATAAAACGTTTTGAAAAGATAACTAGAAAAGTTTAAAACAAACTTCAATTGCCATCCGAAGAGTTGTTATTTTTTGAATAAACTACGAGTTTTTGGTGATAATAAGTAACATCAAACGAAGCACTCAACTTTTTTTTATAAAAGAATTTTAATATCTTCTGAAGAAGATGGTATTTTTTCAATCTCAATACAATAAACTTTGATCGCTAATTTTTCTGTCAAGAGTCTAAATACTCCTAACGATAGGAAGGTATTAATGTCCAAATATGGAGACTAATACCTTCTATCATTACTAAGGCAACAGGCATCAGCATTGAACTTTGATAGGCTTTAACTGTTATGAACTGTTTAATCGGCTATTGAAGAAAAATTAAACCAAACAAGTGCGAGAGTCGGGCCTAGATTAAATCTGTTGCATTACATTTGCTTGGCACTATATCGATGATACTTATCTAAAATGGTATTACGTTAATATTTGTAGGCAAGCATACCCATTCTTTTTTTGTATAATGTGTTTTAGTTACATACATAAACACGCCTGTCACCCGGAGGGATAGGCAGAGACTATGGACTTCCATTTGGCACGATCCTGACACACCTCTCTCGCTTCCTCCACATCCATATACCTACGCATACACGCCCGTCGGTTAAAGTTACTCTTGAATTAGCCCATTTTCAATATATCGCCAATTTGGTCGATAAGCTTTCGCCTAGGGCGTTCCTTTCCGACTCTGCCGTTCACCTCAGCAACATAAATTTGCCTTGTCACTCTTTCCTCATTCATTCTTTCTACATGACCAAACCACCGAAGCATTCCTTTTTTAATCCTGGTCACAACATCATCTTGCAAACCACACTCTTCTCTTATCAAACAATTTTTCACTCTGTCATTAAGATTCATCCCTAACATACTCCTTAATTACCGCATTTCTATAGGATTTCTTCTACTCTCGTGCTTCTTCTGCCACTTACAATATAATAAGTATATTAATAAATTTCTTTATTAATATACTTTCCGTTACATAAAAATCTTATTAAAGTCCACTGCTGAACATAGGCCTCCCCCATAGATTGCCACATAGCGAGTTGGCAATCATAGTTTTTATTTTTAATCGTTATTAGCATGACACTTCTGCCCATCTCTTGAACTGTTTCACTCTGTTAAAACAAATGATGTAAAATAATGTTCTTTATTAATATACTATAGTATATTAATAACATCGAACAAATTCGTACCTACATTTTTAAATTAATAATCATAACTTTTGTTTGATTAACCGATTTTAATGAAACCAAGACTAAATGTTACCTGAAGATACGCTTTATGGTTTTCTTAACGATTCTTTTGGAAAATATTAGTACTTTGGACGTGATACGTTCATAAACAAACAGACAGACAATTCTAAAAATGATAGAAATGCATTTAATTACTTATTTTTAGTCTCTCTTAGTAATTTTTGTCACAAAATATAAAATGTACAGACATCTGCAATTTACAATGTTTATGAAAAATATATAGAATAGAATATAATATAGATGAATTTTTGAAAGTATGTTTACTTACTCTACAAAACAATAAATCGACTTTATTGTTTTTAACATTGAAATAAAAACAAAAAATTGAGACATGATTTTGCATAATGTTAGGTTTAACCCTTAAATGCATAGAATATTTATGATTATGAATTTAAAAATAAAAAAATTATGCATGATGCAGAAAAAGTTTCTTTATTATATAAAAAAATGTTAAAATAGTTGTAGTAATTTATTTTTTCATATAATATATTATATATCATGCGATGGATTTTTCCATCACTATGCACTTACAGTTAATATACATATAGGTAATTGCCATATTTGATATTAGGTAGTGTGAAACCTAGTAAAACAGTTATTATTTTTGTTTAGGCATAAATTTATGCCACATTTGGCACAGCTTATGGTGGTGTATCCTGTACAATGTGGATACTTACAACGAAGCGACACACCAACATCTGGCCAGTGCCCTAGACCATCCATCCGTATATCCAATGGAGGGATTGGTTTTGATTGTAACCTCTTCTTCTTAGCTTGCAACTCCTGCTCCAGGCTGGAAGAGCTAGGCCGACCTCTTTTATTTTCGTTTGTGCCTGAGTTACATAAAACATAGGCCAGATCGTTTCTGAACTCACCTAAGTTTAAAATGTTCTTTTTTGCAACCTTTTCTTTTATTGCATTATTTTTATATATAATCCAGGAGTTGATAACAGCCAGATCAAACAAATGGAAAAATATACGAATATACCATTTACGAGATTTTACTCTTATGTGATATCTACCCATGAAACTATCTAACAAGTCAACACCCCCCATATGACTGTTATATTCTGTAATGGACTTTGGACACAATATATCAACTCTTTCCCTCGTCTTTTTATCAAACCTTTTAACGGTTGAAACAGGCTCTGTTCCTACGTAACTTGATAACATAGTCACTATTTTATTGTCCTTCCATGCTATGCAAGCTAAATCAACTCCCTCATATGACGCTGTTCTTTCTTCATAAGTACCCCTAGGGGTATTTTTTTTCATCATCTCTTTTTTGTCTGGTAGCTTGTTATTAGGAATTCTGTTTTGTTGAATTGTGCCAAGGCAATGTATTCCTTGCTTAGCCAAATAGATAACTAATGGCACAGATGTATAGAAATTATCAAAGAAGATAATATGGTTGACCATTCGTGGAACATCTCTGGTTAAGCGAAGCACAATGTTATTTGTAGAACCTAAGTCAGGCTCACCTTCAGGTCTTGTCGAAATGTCTTGGCCAGAATAAATTTCAAATTTGTAGGCAAATCCAAAAACACTACATAAAACATACAACTTAAATCCCCACTTATGGGGCTTATTTGGTAGATATTGTTTTAGATAATGTCCCACTTTGGTGGCACACATTTGTTCATCAATTGATAGTCTTTGATGTTTTTTTACACTGGAAAAGGTTTGATTTAGACTATCAATAATTGGTCTCACCTTATATAAGCGGTCATGTCCTGGTTGGTTAACTGGTATATATTTGTCATTATCATTGAAATGGATATATTTTTTGATCTTTTCAAATGTATTCACATTCATAGTTTGCTTTATAGGTTCAAATCCAAAACGCCTTGACCAGTACTTGCGTGTGCTGGGGAAATGCTGAACAGACATGTAAAGCAGAATGCCTAAAAACTTTTTCAGGTCATAATGAGACAAATTAAATCTATTTTCAGGATTTAATTGGGTGGCATATAGATTAGTTTCTGATATTATTTTGTTACAAAGTTCAGTTGTAAAAAAGTAGTTAAAGCATTGATATGGTGTTTTTAGGGCTGTTATTTCAGTACCTAGATCAGTGCTTCCTTCAAATTCAACATTTGACTCAGAAAACTGAAGTGTACTCTTCTTCCAAATCAGCTTCCTCTTGTCTAATACCCAAGTCGAACAAGCAGAGTTTTCTCCTGCTTTAGATGCCACAGTTTCTTGAATCAGAGGGGGATCATGCACATCAACTTGTTCTTCATGTAAAGTAGGTTCATTTTCCAGATTATCATCATCCTCTACGTCTTGTAGCGGTTCATTTCTATTGGTGTAAAAGATACTTTCCTCATTATCTTCCGTATCAGACATTTCCATGCCATCTTCTGACAGATATCCTCCTTCCAGAGCAGACAAGTACTCTTCAATGTCTCTATCATTGATTATTCTTGATCTTGGAAAAGACATTTTTGCTGAAATATTACATAAAAATCATTATAAACTTGAGATAAACTATAAAAGAATAATTGTGCTGAAAAGTTAGGTTTCCATACATCGAGAACTACGACTAATGCATATTGATGGAAATTTCCATCATAAACAAAAAGACCCAGAATACAACTAAAAACTATGATTCTTCTAAAACAAATTGCCTAGGTATTGAAAACTTACCTTATTTTATGAAATAATAATTTTTTCAATAATTACTTGTTCGTATAAGTTCACAAACTAACAATCAGAAACACCACAAAACACAAGTAGTTATCGTTTCACTTGAACAGATGATTGACCATGACAGTTGACATTGACAGTTTTTTTTTCGTTCAAAAATGTTGCCTAAACATCGATGTTCATATACATGTCCGTAAATAAATTCATTCGGATCACAGACTAAAAATAAAGACAAAAATTCTTAACGATGGAAATTTCCATCACTATGAAATTAAGGGTTAAGTAAAGTTACTGCATAAATAGTCGTCAATAGAAACCTAAATAAATTAAGTAAAAAAACTTCTACGAAGAAACCCGATAAATATTACGAAAATAAACTAAAAAAATTACTCACTTGCTTCCTTCTCTTATCAGCGCTATAGCTATTGTAATTCGTTTTCTCAGAAATATTATTATTATGAGAAGTATCGTTAATACAATAGCCAACACAACGAGCATGGTCATCCAGGTTTCCTGTTTAGTGAATATGGATTGCGCGTAGCCCTTCAAATTTGATGTCTGGATGAGAGTTACTGGATTGTTGCGATAATATATATAATTCTTGTAGCATAAGTAAATAGCTGAAACAATTTAATTAAATACATACGTATACGATATGAAGAATTTAGGTTTATTATAATTAACTTTCCGTAATTCTGTAATTCCGTAATTTTGAGTAATACATAAGCAGCTTGCTTATGTATACCTTGCTTTATACTCTAATCATTCTCCTGTTTAATAATTTCCCTTTGACGCCTCTAACGACACCCATGGGATGATATGGGGTAGTAAATACTCCAACGCCGTCACTACACGGAGAAAATCGTACAATTTTTTAGTTAATTCAAAACATTTTGTTACATTTTAACCTATCTGGGTATCGAATTAAATATATTATGTTGGATATATAAAAAAAAAAACAGTATTTTATTGAAGCAACGGAATTATGTTTGGAAGAATTTTGCAGTAAAAAAATAAAACTCTTATGCAGTACTTATACTTTATGACAAAATAAATCTTCTTCGGCTTTAACGTGACTATAAAAGTATAATCAACAAGAACTTACAAAATCCTAACAGGACATGTAGTCCAGCGATGGAAATCCAAACGACAGGCGCAACAAGCCAGCGCAGTAGCAGGATGTATATGAAGCAAATTATGACCACGGCCACCACTGCCCCCGCCATATACCATCGAGACTGCACCAAGTCTTGCACTATTTGTGATGATAGCTGCCAAAAAAATTTTAAGAAATCGATCAAACATTACCCATTATGCAGGGTTTATTTGCAATATACGCCTAAATTTGCAGAAAAGGTTCAAAATAAGTAATATAGGCGAATGATGAAGAAAAGGTAATTTAAAAAAAATCCTGTACTTTTATCTTTTAAATTCAGAATGCGTGGTAATGCGTTATTTTAATTGAATGTCATTCATAAAAATTATATAACGCCTATTATTTTACTACATACGCACACATTTGAAGGGTTGCTCGGTCGGCAAAAACATTGTAAATTGAATCGCACACAGAGGCGCGCACATACGCGTAGTTGTTGCCCATAAATCACATTCAATTTGGGATAATTTCAAATTAAATTAGAAGCCTTAATTAGTCGTATTTTAAAAGACTGCAATAACGGTATATCATTATTTATATATTTGAACTTAAATATAAATTTTGGATACTCTTTGAAAAATGACCCTGTATATAGGTACCCCTTTATTATGTATAGTAAAAATGCAATGTAAAGGAAAATATTAATAAAGTAGATACCTAGATAATAGAAAAAATACATAAAGTTTACATCACACTGGGCTGGCCTTATATATCCTAGACTGGCAAGGCAGAGAAGCGTATTTTATAAACTATACGCTTGCTAAGCGTCTAGCAGTGTTCTATAACGGACTGTTATAGGAATAAGACACTTAAATTAATAAATATTATCACAGATTGCGAAGTGGTTTTGCTTGTCAGAAATGACATAATTTCATAATTATTAAAAATTTAAATACATAATTACCCATTGGACAGTTCATCATAAATAATATTTCATTCATTCATAAAAGCCTATAAAAATTATACTACAGAACATAGACCTCTCCCATAGATTGCCTCATAGGGGAGATGTTTGCCACAATTGCCACGCTTGCAGTGGGTTGGCAACCTCAGTTTATTATTATTTTAAGCTATTATCAGGATGATGCTGCTGCCCATCTCCTGTTTAATTTCCCTCTACCACGTCTAAGCCTCTAACCACACCCACGGTGGATGGTTATTTTTATAGAATAAGGGTGACAAACGAGCATACAGTCCACCTGATGGTAAGTGGTTGCTGCGCGGCCCATAGACATCCACATATATCTTCGTTTGCGAATTAAAATTCAGTTGCGTTGTCAGCCGTGAGGACTAAGATAGAATGCTTCTTTTCCTGTAAAACAGGTCTCCGGTTCTCTACACTCACCATACGAAACACAGCAACGTCAAGCTGCTATTTTACGTTGGTATTCTGTGAGAGCGTGGTCCTTCCCCGGTGGAGCCGACCCATTCGTGCTACAACTATACTATTAATATAGCTGCAGCATGGCTCTACCACGTATAAAATGGTATGGGGTGGTCAATCTCTTAAGTCGCAACCACTAAACGGTGACTCATCTAGATAATACATTAAAACATGCGACGGTTAAATTGTTACGTATACTCGAAAATTATTTTTTGAAATAAGAATATGTCACATTATTTAACTAATACTATAACTAATGTAAGTACATTTACTACACAGACATGCATTGTTAAAGCTTGTGTTTGAGTTATTTAATTAGAATTTACTTAAAAGCTAATAGTTATCTACTATCTACCTAGTTATAATAAATATTACATTTATTTCAAAACTAGCTGTGTCGGCAACTTGGTTTGCGTGAATAATAAATAAAAACTAACTCATAATATAGGTACCTACAATCCTACAACATATTACTTCCAATTGTGTAAATGTTATGTCGGTAAGTGTTAAAGTTTATTTTTTTTATGCGTTGGCATTGACAGAGAAAAGTAAATTTTTATAACGTTAGATTTATGTTAAATTCAAAGATATAAACAGAAAAATCATTTGTAAGTTGACAATTTGGAAATATCACACATCCTACTACAATGTTACTGTGTGTAGCTTGTCATAAAATGTAAGTAGGTATGCAAGTATACAAACTTTTAATTAAATGAAATGGTTATTCAAAGTCACAATAGTGATGCTGCAGATTAATCTACTAGATTTATTATTTTTACAAATATTTTATAAAAAAATTGTACATACGTCAAGTACTCTACCTGATCGAATTTTATCAATTTGTAAAGTTGCTCTAGCACCTCATTTTTCTCCATATCTACCAAGTTATTGTTGATCTCAGGGAACACTTCCATGGCCTCGGAGATGAAAGGTAAGCACCGTCCAACCACTGCGCCAGCACCGGCCGACCAGAGATCGGTGTTAGTTGAATTTTAATTTTAATTTTTTTTTGTTATTGGTTGTAGCATTTAAAGGAGTGGCATACGATGTTAATAGGTTAAAAGCAGTGCTCATGCGGAATAGGTAATTTTGTAAGGATTAGTCTACACGTGCGAATCGGCACTGGGCCACGTGTTGTCTACCTACAACGTGTGTCTCCCGCTCGTTCCTTGTGAAGAAAGTAACCCAGCTAGCGGCTATCCAACCCACGTACGAGTCCAGAGCCGTCGCGCTGTTCAACAATGACTGCTGTGCCTCTTTTGGGTTCCGAACGCAGGTCTGCTCTGCGTTTGCTTCGTTAGTCCACTTCGACACCGGCTTTATGTCCTTGCATTGCATTGTGGACAGGTCGCCAATGCAGCGGAACAACACTGAAGCGCAGTTATTACATCTGATCGAAGTCGGTTAGGAGGCATCACGAATTATAAAAATCATGCCACACGCTCACCCACGACATAGCACAATAATATTAACAGTTTAATGAAACAAAAAATGTATAATTAATAAGTCATGAAAACAATTTGTATATCTGACTCATCTTTACAAAACTCGCATAACATGTTGAAATTGCAAAATAATTACCTGGTTGACTTTTTAATACATAACTGGCGCATTTTCCATCTTTAATGTTTTGTAAAGCTTGAGTATACGTCATGGTTTGCACATTCACACCCTCGGTACAGACCATGCTCGATCTTACTTGCTCAAAGCTTGACGCGTCACTTATTTTTGTCTGAAACATGATTGTTTGGTCCGGGCACTTGTTGACGCAGACCTGGAAAATAAGCGATTATACCGTTAAATGTTTCGCGTGTAAAAAAGAGGAATTCCTTTTTACAAAATAGAGAAAATTGAGTATGCCTACATTTGTAATATATTCTTATCTTCCCAAAAAGTAACAGCCTACATGCGTGCCACCGCTGGGCACAGTTATAAGGAAAGTCAGTCATAATCACAATACGTAAGAAGCCTACGTGTTGTGACGGGTAACTACGGAACCCAACCTCTACATTGTGCGTGGCCTTTTTTCTCTTAAACTATGCATCCAAATAACGTGCTATAAAGAGCAAAGTTAATCTTAATATAATTGTGTTCATGATGAAGTAATTTTCGTTCGTAAGTATTAATATGCTATGCCTAATAATAACGCGCATAAATCACTTTTTAATTTTCAATATTTTTGTCACAAAGTACCTTATTGTTGCTTACGTATAAGAAATAGGCCTATAGTATCGTGGACTTTTTTATATGGAGGAAAGATATATATTTTTGTAGAACAGAGTATTTACGTATTATTTAAGGCTTGCAGAGAGATGTAGCCGAATGCTAGATAGCTTATTAAATTCCTTTTGAATCTGGCTAACATATACAAAAGACTTTATCAAATCAGACTGGTAGTTCCAGAGATAAGCGTGTTTAAAAAGATTTAAACAAACAAAAAACCTATTTCGCTTTATTATAATAGTTTAGTATAGATTCTATCTCATTCTCTCTTATAGATTTATATATTTGTCTCTTTTCTGAAGACTTCCAAAAAGGAGACGGTACTCAATTCGACTGTATTTTTTTTATGTGTTACCTCATAACTTTTTACTGGGTGAACCGATTTCGATGATTCTTTTTTTATTTGAAAGCTGGTACTTCTCGTGTGGTCCCATATGAATTTGATCAAGGTCAGGCTAATAGTTTTTGAGTTATTCTTAATAACTTATATTAAAATCGGCAGCACAAAATTTTTAATTTTTAATTATTAGTGTCGCTTTTTCGTATCATTTGTTACAAATCACAACGATGCTAAAGAAAATTTCACTTCAATAATATAATATCCATATTTTTTTATAAATTTATTCTTAAGGTTTTGGAAGTATTGTATTGTATTGTATTATAGTATTATACTAAGATGCACAGCCCAAACAGCTAGACTTAGATATCTGAAATTTGGACTTATCCACTAAAAAAGGATTTTTAAAAATTCAACCTCTTAGAGGGTATAACAGTTTGTATGAAACTTTTTAATTTAATGGGCGATTGTCCCGAAACTTACTGAAAGACTGGATAAAAAGACATTTGAATGGGCAGAAGGAGCTATACATAAATTAAAGCTATACATAGTTAAAAAAAAATAAAAAACAAGATTCGATGTCGAGGAAAGTAGGATAGAAATAAAAGAAAGAATAGGGAGTGTGATGGAATATATTAAGAGTTCCAAGTAATAAGTTTTGAGTAGATTTTATGGAAAAAAGCACACATGCGTACTGCTGTAACAGAAAATGATTAATCGAAGAATGTGTATAAATGTACTGGAGCACGAAAGAAAGGATTATACCACTCTAGGTTTTCACCATTAGACATGCCTTAGCCTAACTTAAATTCTGCGATCATTATCACGAAGAAATATGAGAAAGTTTTTACGTGACAGCTTGAACTCACGGGCTCTCCGCCGTATGAAGCGATCTTATAATAAGCGTGACTGATGACTGACTGGACGTTACTTGGATGCGGGTAACATCGTGGGCCGAAAAACTAGTAAGTGTATAAGTTATTTTTAAATTTACACATACATGTTCCAACTTTATGAAGGAAATATTAACTATATTCTACAAACGCCTACGTTTACGACCTTCATCAATTACGAACTTGTAAAGAGGATGTCGGTGACGTGCGAACGTCCGATATCTTCGCTAGCTACCTATATAAGTGGATAGTCTACGTCGGAATGCAATACTATTATGATGCACGTCTGGCGGTAAATTGTTACAAATAGCGATTTTTATTCATTCTGGTGCAATTTATTCAACTGCGCACGTAGAAACCAGCCTTAAATTATTGCATTCGTATCAGATAAAGGGCTATGTTCTCATATTATTGTGTATGACAGATTACTCAAAGCATATAATATTCCAAAAGTTTTATTTCAGATAGGATTTAATATTATAAGAAGTCACATTTTTTCTCAATAGGATACTTATTGGGCTTACTTATAAAAAATCTAAATATTGAATAAATCTAATAACTTACTTGACAGTAATACTTTCACCGCCGCCATTGCAGTGCACTGTGCATAAGTCCTTTATTAACAAAATTCAGTCCGCTTTTTTTTTAACGCAAAAAAGTGAATTTAACGGCTTTATCACATCCTAGTAGATAGGCCAGCAAAAATTATTTATGTATGAAAAATTGCTGCTACATATTTTGAGCCGGTGCTGCCAAGCCACTTGGCAGGAACTCAACGGAAAAGCGAGCTAAGAGGCTTACTAGACCTCACTTTGGTTAAAGCAAATCTTGGATATCTCAAACACAGGCGCAAAATAGTTTCCCAGTATTCTAAAGGACACATTTCGAAAAGTATGTACAGTAATTGCACGATTTACTTCTTCCCTCTCATCTACCATCGGACCAAACGCTCGGACAAATTCCACCACTGTTATCGACATACCACGCGTTCAAACCAAACATATTGCTTCGTTATTCGTAATGCTACGTTAGAACTATTAATTACTTATTCTCTATTTCTCTGGTAATGCGTACAGCAGTGGAGTGGAATATTTGCCAGTATACATGCGATTACAAGCAAGAGTGATACACCACTGCCACTAACCATAAGGTGTGATGATAATTAAATATTGGCTTATTATTATAATAATACGCACTTGCTGAGTTGGGCAACCAGTAATAGGAGTCCCTGGTGACAAACATCGTGTGAGGTCGAAAAACATCAAATATTTTTTATCCTCGAGGCCAGAATCCAACCCGCAGCGGTGTCCTCTCGAATCGATCGGAGCTAAGAGTGTCTCCACGTTGCCTCTTGTTATACCTGTAAGTTTATGTGATATATATATTTTTTAAACAACTTGAATTTTTTTTTAATTTACTATCAGCGCTAGACCGTTCCAAGTATAATGAAATCAATTTTTTTATGTATAGAATAAGGGTAACAAACGAGCACACAGTCCATCTGATGGTAAGTGGGTGCTGTGTTCCATAGACTATAATTATCTTGGATTTTGAATCAAAATGCAGATATGCGTTGTCACCCCTCAGGACTAACAAATGTAGACTTGTACTAACGTATAGGGGACTAGCTGTTCACCGCGACTTCGCTCGCGTGTAATTTAAGGTTTTAATTATGTTGCGCGGAACCCTAATTCTTTTTCTAAAATATAAGTAGCCTAAGTTACTCCTTATAACATCAGCTATCTGCCAGTGAAAGTCCCGTCGAAATCGCTCTAGCCGTTTCGGAGATTAGCCAGAACAAACAGACAGACAGACAGACAAAATTTTAAAAATTGTGTTTTTGTTATAAGTACCGTATATACTTTCATATGCATTTAGTAAAAAGCTGTTATTTTAATATTACAAACAGACACTTCAATTTTATTTATTTTCTATAGATATAGATTAACAATTGTAACTTGTAAGATGGAATACCTCTGTGGCAGCGCTGTCGTCGCGTCACAAGTGAAAATACATCGAAGCCTAAATCGCGCTATCAAAGTTCCGAAGTAAAACAGCATAATTATATAGAATAGCTCCACTAAATAACTACCGCTCGGAGCGTTGGCCGCTCCCCGGACAGAACACCTTGCCCGGCGGGAGATCTCCCCTTTTCCTTCCACCGGCTACAGCTCGCAGATGGCGTCGTCACCCGTGAGGACTAAGATGGAAAGCCTCTTTTCCAGTAAAAGTAAAAGGGGTCACCGGTTCTCTACAGTCACCATACGAAACATAACAGCATTAAGCTGCTATACTGTGAGAGCGTAGTTCTACCCAGGTCGAGCCGATCCATTCCTGCTAAGACTCTACCACGTAAAAAAACTATGTGTAGTCTGTAATTTTTTTAAGTAAAAAGAATTTAAATGATAATATAGACCTTTAACTTTTCATTGAAATGTGAAATATTATTAACCTATACGAGCCAACTTTTATCGTATACAAGTAAGTATTACAAACAAGTAGAAAGTCCACATGGTGGTAAGTGGGTGACAAACAGCTCACCACACTACACATCGCAGTATTAAGCTATTATTCTATAGGAGCGTAAGCGTGATTTCCCTATCGAATAGACCCATTCCCGCTGCAGCTATAACTGCAGCGTGACTCTACATTTCCAGGTAAAAACTTAATTAGTAAAAATCCTCTTTCATTGTTTGAAAATATCATTAACCAATGTATGGCAAAGTTTCCGGTCTATAGTCGCCACTGCAATTGCAAGTTTAAATCCATTGTACTTACTGTAATATCCGATATAACCCCATACTCCCAGGAACAGAATGAAAAAAATCAGCCATATGATGTCGGTGCAGGAACGGTTACGTGTAGGACCACTGAACTCCGGATCATACCGAATTGGCTCCCCTGGAATGACAGTTTTATTTTAAAATGAGTTTATGCTTTATGGCTTTTTTTAAGTCTTTCAAAACTTACAGCCTAGCCTAATTACGATTTTTAAGGAACACTGCGTCCCTTGTTCTTCTCTTAAAATTTAAATTAATTCAAAGTAAAATGCAAAATAAGTTACTGTGACTAAACCTGTTTTGAATAACTAATTTCAAAAAAAGCTAGGCACGAATTAAAAAAAAAATTAGATACCTATGTTTTTTTTATAGGATAGGGTGACAAACGAGCACACAGTCCACCTGATGGTAAGTGGTTGCTATGACCCATAGACATTTATCCTCAATAAAGAATCAAAATGCAGATGCGTCGTCACCCGTGAGGGCTAAGGTTGAGATTTATAAACCGTACTTTGACTTTGCTCAGACTTTACTTTCGAGCTAAGACAATTTATAGAGCTAAGTTCGCAGTCGTGCTGAGTGCGCGCTTAGCAAAGCCTAAGTCAACGATATATAAACATATAATATAAACATCGGAACATAAAAATTGTTGCTTTTATGTTACTCTAATTAATTAAAACAATAAATAGATAGTTTTAGGCCGTCTTCTAGTTTTAAATAGCATTAATCCATTTTCTATTTATGTAATTTCAATCTAATTTCGAATTTCTTAAAATCTTATTTTTTCTTTTTTTCTGACTTTGCACTCATCTCATCCCTTCCCGTTCTCATAGGACCGTTTTCTATTTTATGTAATAATTAATAATTTATGAAATACAATTTGGACTTTTATTCGATTTGAAATATATATATATATGTTTAATTTTATACAGTAATTTTGATTTGAAATATATATATTTTTTAATTTTATACAGTAAAGTGAAAAACATAATGCGTGGAATGAAACATTGGTATAACTTTTCTATTGACTGAAGTAGTTTTAATTATCGTACTGAAATTATCGGTTTTAAAAATTGAAACTTATATAAGCTGGTTCGGTGAGCACTTCCAATAATAGTGGTGTAGGTATAAATGGTATTAGCGCAAAAAAGCAGGTATTTATTTAACCTTGTAATGTCCCCAGGCCGAAATCCGGTCACGGTGGCCAATATCAACGGAGTGTAGTCTAGCTATCTGCGCGGGACAGGATTATAGTACCCAAGTGTATGTGCAAGCCTCTATTCCTTTTATCTCATAGTCCGATGGGACGGTAAGTAATCTGACATGATCAATCAGGGAGACAAACAGAGAGATCAGGCGCAGGACAATGGCTTTAAGTGCTTTCCGAGGCACGGGAGTGAAACACCGCCAACTTCGTGACTCCGGGCAACAGCCTGAGTAATTCTCATTCAGCGAGAAACTCTCAGTAACAACCAATAAAGAAAAACCCAATAAATGATTTTGCCCCGACTCGGGATGCAAACCTGGGACCTCCTGATGAGCTATCGCGTTTATGACCACCTAGACCAATGAGGCAGTCAAAAGTAAGATTTTTTTACAACCTTACCATACACTAAATACGTGTACCTACCTATAGCTAAGTCGAACGAAGGTTCGAATGCATTGTCAGAGAGACGAGGACGAGGAGAACATAAACTACCAAAAAGTAATGTCATCATTCCTTTCACATGGGTGTTAAATTGTTAACCGACCAAAAAGTTTACCTACAGCCACAGATTAGATAAGTTACTCTACAGTGTCAAACAAGTCATTCTCCTAACTGCATTGGGAAACCCAATGACTAAGCAAGTAATTGATTAGTAATTGGGTTGTATAATACAATAGCATATAATGTTTAACTCAAAAAAGATTCTTGGTGTTAAGTTAAAGCTTCTTTTTTATCCTTATCAATTAAACCAAAAACTGATTTTTAAATTTTCTTTGAAAAAAATTTTTTCTATATTATTAAAACACGGCTTTTTAAAAAAGTTTGAAGTAGATATATATATTGTTGACAACTAAAGCCGTGTTCTGATAAAGAGTTAAAGTTTTTGGGGATAACGATTCGTCGTTGATTTATTATTCCCCGATTACTAGCTTTTTTCATCAGAAAATTAAATATATTATATTTAATGGAAAACTACAAATAAGATTAATTTTCTGACAAAAAGCTAGTAATCGTGGAATAATAAATGTTTTCTTGCTCTCCTGTAATTTTTTGAAAAATTGAGGTTCGCTCCTTTGCGGCGTCAACGACGTGTTGTTTCCCCCACTTTTTTACCCAAAGACCAATTGCCAGATCTTTTATGGGTAGATTATTACAAACAGTTATGACGAGAAAAGATTTAAATGAACAGGAGTTTATCTTGTTTTACTATATTTTCAACATACCATATTAAAATTAACATTTCTCAAAGGTCATCGCATTTTTGCTACCAATGACTATATAATCATTACGTTTAAATGCTACTGTTTTAAAATGAGAGGTTCCCTACTCAGCATTGCGGCAGTTTAATTATGGTGAGATTCGTTGCCGGTAAATAATCACTGCAATGGCGTTATATTTTTGATAATGATAATACATTGTAATCTAAAATAAGATATCAATATAATGAAAACAAGTTTATAATTGATACTAATACATTTACGCAAGATGACGACCCATACGTCACAAGTCAAAAGAAACCAACAATGATTCACACTGACGTTACACAATCGCAGTGCCACACAGTTCAGTGGTCTGCCGCAACGCCGAAAACATTTATTACCGAGTCGAAAGTGTTCATTATGCCTCGAATACTGAATCTAATACTTCCTGCGATCTTATCGCCTTCACCTCTATGAATTATGAAACCGTGTACTTGTACATATGTATTTGCATCTGCGTTCGCGCTAATAAGTACAAATTCGACACACATACGGAAGGTTGAAAACACATTACATGAAATGATAAAAAATATAGCAAATATATGTGGTATTAACAAAACGTACTAGATTCTTTTGGTGGCACGCAGCAATCTCCACAGCAGCCCATCTTTTCACATGAAAACTTTCACATATAAATTACGATATACATTTAGGGAATCACCATTTGTCACCATTAATGTTAATGCACTATTCGATTATACAAATATCGACTTTAACCAATGCAAAATGAGCACTAGCTATCATAGACGATGAACAGACGGGAATCTTATCAAACTGATTAGCAATACAACATATTTATATTTTGATACGTAGAATTTAAAATTATTGTTTGAATGTTTACGTTTTTGTATAAGAAGCAAAGCCTACTTGATGCAATTATTTTATTAATACTTAATTAATGAGATGATGTCGTAGCCAGATGTAAAGTAGTCAACTATTTCGTGGAAAATAGTTGTACCTATTTCAAGAAATATTACGGTTTGTTGACGGTTTAACCAAATCAATTAACAGAGATAGTTTGACGATATAAAAAACTGAATTGTCATTGGTCATAATATGGGGAAAAATATTAGCTCGTATTAACTGCTAGCGGCGCTGATAGCGCATTTTTAGCACGGTCTAGATCACTTTATGCCTAATTTATATTGTATAATATATAAAATACACCGCAAATGCTACGTTTAGCATATTATGCAGTATTGTGTCTTAGTTTTGTGTTTGTGTATATTGCAATTGTAAACGAATAAGATTTACAGGCAATGGCTTTTATACACAACAAATAAGATATGGCAGATTAGATGGTAGCCCATTTGAATGTTAATAAAAATCTGGCAATATTCACACATTTACTTAAATGTTAGCGAACGGACGGTCGTGCACATCTTTATGTCCTTGATTTCTCTCACAGTTCAGTCGTCACCATTAGTACTTAGTACGTGTACAATAACGTTGGTAGCTTTGGTGATCACTAATCATTGGGTTTCAAAACACCACAATGCAAAAAATTGTTCTTTAATATTTTTGGTAGAATTCCGAACAAAAAGCACCTTATTATAGAAATTTATAGCAAGTAAATAGAAGTCTGTACGGACATAACATTATTGTTATTGATTATAGCTATAACTGTATGAGTTTTGCCCATCCACTGGTTAGGCAATGCCTGTAGACCATCAATGATTTAATAAGAACCCGAGAGTATCGCAGTAAAATCCAAGAAAACACAAATAGCGTTCTGTACCTTATGTGTATGTAATTTCAAATAAAATATTCAATAAAAAATCTTTTATTTAGATTCTGATTTCATTATTTATAAATGGTAGCAATTTTATCTTTTATTTGTTGTACGTAATCACTGTCATTAATAGATTTAAAAGTAAATTGCTTTGAAATCAGACTAATATACCAAGAACACTCATTGGAAAGTGATTCTCACAAGTTTTCTGTAATTTTAGAGCACTTTTAAACACTGAATATTAAAATTTTGACGCGACCTCGTATGTGTACCCATACGATACCGTCAGAAACAATACTGACTTTGCGCTTACGGCGGTAAATAAAGGTCATTTCACATCACATCATTAAGGTGAAACACCATTGGTGTATGGTGTTACACCAATGATCGCGTTTGAACATCTTTAAAAAAAGGTAGGTTACGTTGTAGTACAATTGCAAGAAATGAAGAAACACAATGCTAATATGCTTATTATCTTATCTTCCAACATCATTAAAGATCTGTAAATATTTACAAAAGTACTATAACGTTGCTCTACTACAAAATGGTTCCTTTTCTTTATTGTAGACACAGTACACATCTATAAACGAGTGACATTAATATCTTAAAAAAGGAGTCTAACGAGCAGTAGAACATTTAAAGCATTATCAGTTTGTTAATTTCATTTTATTTACTTTTGTCAATACGTAAAACCTATTAGATTCGTCTTCCTTGTTATAATTTACTTTTCATTGAATATAACTACTTTTACGGATTCTATCGCGTTTAAATACCTTATTTTTCAATTCAATCAAAAAAACACCACACCACACAAAAGTCGGGACGTTTGTGTGGTGTGGTCACTGAAGTCCCGATGTCAGAGTTAATCCGGATTAACTTCAGCTTTTTTAATTATTAGTTTTGGTCCGATCTACGCACATAATGAACTTACTGTGTCTTGAAGTCTTGCAGTGGTATGCTTGGGTTTAGTTTTAATTTTATTAATTACAGGATTTGGAAATTAGGATGTATTTTAATTTCAATAGCCTCACGTATCATCCTTGGCAGGAATCGATGTTCTTTAATGGCGGGGTTCGTCTATGATATGATCACAAACTGCAGATTTCCCGGAACGTTGGTGTTTCAGGTCAGCTATGTGTTCTTTTACACGGGTTTTGATAGATCGTTTTGTTTGCCCTATATATGAGAGAGCACATTCACAATCAAGCTTGTACACTGCTGCATCTTGTAAAGGGATATTAATTACACTTGACGGATGGTAAGAACTGACTAATCTTCTTCGGCGGCTTGTAGAATGTTCTAATAGAAGCTCGCTTCAAGATGTAGCCAACCTTGTCTATGACACCTGTGACATATGGTAGTACAGCAGGCACACAATCGACAGTGGCCGGCTTAACTCGGTCACTATGACGTAGGCGCGGGACCCGAAGCTTGTTGTTGTGCAGAACCTGTTTGACGTGCTGAAGCTCGGCAGCCAGGTGTTTGCTGTCACATATCCCTCGTGCTCTCTGTAACAACAGTTTTTTTTTGTTGCTACATCTTGAAGCGAGCTTCTATTAGAACATTCTTCAAGCCGCCGAAGAAGATTAGTCAGTTCTTACCAAGTGTTCTGCCCAGTGTTTCTCGTGATGTTTTTCAGAGATATTATAAACTGTATTGGGTCTTACGCGTGATAAAGTATTATTATCAAAAGTGACGGTGGATTTATTATATATACTTTTTAAAACAAAATGTCAAACGAACTTATACATATGGGGACCTGCAGCAAACTTCAAACAAAGGAGGATACACATCGGTAACTTAATAAAACCTCATGAGCCTCACAGCCTTTAAGAGAGTATAATTATTATACTGTATCTCTACAACCTTCAAACTGGAACGCAGGAGTGCAGGCACTGCTATTTGGTGACAGATATGAAAAGAATACTCCCGGAAGGACTACTTAAGAAGATAAGGTGGTCTACAAACTAACACGCCTATATAAATTGTAATCAAGCGCGCCATATAATTTTTCTGTCAGAAATTTCCCAATGTATGCTCGCAATGAGAAGCTTCTTATGGCTGTGTCCTTGTATCGTTTTTATCTATATCCCTTTGTTGCCACAACGCTTTGTTAGTCATTCCAGCCTGCGTAATTGTTGAAACAAAGGTATTATCTTCTTTTGAAACTAAATATTTTGTGTAAAATTACTTCAAATTTTCAACTATTTTTGAAGCTATGAGGCAAACATTTGTGAACGGACGTTGTTAAATTTTATACAGCTATTTAATTACCAAATAAAACGAGCATGCACGGCTATAATTTAGAGTTTTTGAAATTTTGATGGTAATATACTAAGCCTGTATATAGCTATAAGACATGTTTCTTATTTGGTTACTTGGTTTAAATTCATTCATTCATAACAGCCTAACAAAGTCCACTGCTGAACATAGGCATCCCCCATAGATTGCCTCATAGAGCATTTGCCATAGTTGCTAAGACCACGCGTGGCAGGCGGATAAGTAATTCGCAGTTTTTTTTAAAGTATTTTGAGCTGTTATTACGAAGTTGCTGCTGACCATATCCTCTATCATTTCTTTATATCGCATTTTACGAAATCAACGGAATGATAGTGGTTTCTCTTTCGCTGTCACTACACTTTGAATTAAACAATTTGTCTTATCAACCGACTTTAAAAAGGAGGAGGTTCTCAATTCGTCGGAATATTTTTCTTTAATGTATGCTCACCGATTACTCGAAGACGCCTGAACCGATTTCAATGACTTTTTTATTTGAAAGCAGGTGCTTTTCATGTGTTCTCGTATAAATTTCATCAAGGTCTGACCAGTAGTTTTTGAGTTATCCTCATTAATATATATTGAAGCCGGTTGTACAAAATGTTTAATTTTACCACTTGTTTATGTACGAGTAATAACATATAACATTACACAAAATGAAAGTTGGTAATTTTGATAATAGAACAACTAACTGTTCATTCGGATAAATTGATATTACATCCTAGTTACAAAAAAAATTACAATCACATGATCGCATATATCGCATCAGTAATCATTGCTCGCACACCGTAAATAAACACAAGCTACGTTCACAACAAAGACCACTATAAAATGCACGCGTACGTGAAATTGGGACAAAAATATCATTCATGAAATTTTGTACGATCACATTGTATAATTATCTACTAGAGCTGTAGCATTAGCTGAGGATAAAATTTACAGACAATGGGTGTTCTGTTGTTGGGCACAAGAAACCTCTCTTTTGGAAAATACAGCTGGCATATTTCGCCATATTCCTTCCGCTATAACATATAATTTATATAAGTATATACATATAATAATTTAAAAAATGCAACGGATAAACATTATTTTATCCTTTTCAAATACTAACGTAATGATACTCAGATTAAATGTATATATATATATATATATATATATATATATATACATATACATATACATTTATTCCTACATTTTTTATAGAATAACGAGCACAGTCCTCTGTGGCCTATAGACATCTACATCAATCCGTGCTTACGAATCAAAATGCAGATGGGTTTTCACCCTTGAGGACTAAGATGTAATTGCCTCGTTTCCAGCAAAAGGATCTCCCGTTCTCTACACTCACCATAGGAACCACACCAGCATTAAGCTGCTATTTTACGCTGGTATTCTGTGAGAGCGTGTTACAACATAGCGGCTGCATGGCTCTACCACGTGTAAAATATAAAATTATGAAAACAGTGTGACAATATTTGCTTTACCTGGATTTCTTAAGCTATATGCATTTGTCGTCATGATGTTAGGATTTAAAAAAAGCAAATGGCTTCTTAAATACTTTTTAAATTTTTCTATTTTAGTACAACATAACTTAAAGC